CGCACGCTAATTAGAAATTTTACACACGGTAGTACAAAAAAAATTGTTATGATATTTTTTGTCAACATTGGTATCATGTTGTGGTACTTTTCAGTTAAGTTTAAACGGTTCTAATAAGTGATTCGGAAAAGGAAGATATCAGGAAGAAGAATGGAATGGTAGTAATTAGATGTGGCTGTACCTACGTTTATTGCACATTTTTACATTGTATATTTATTTTCTGCCAATTTGAATGGAATAATTGTTTTGAATCGGTCTTTAGAATGTCTTAAAAACTTTATTGGCATTTTCATGATTGTTATTTTTATTGTACTGGAAAATATAAATATAAACATTGAATTTGGCAATTTTAATGAGGCGGGCCACTGCTACTACATTATCAGCCCCAACCAAAAAAATTGTTTTCAACCCTGGTCTGAATTATAAATTAATTTTCGCGTTTTGATTTTGAGCCTCCTCCGCATTTCAGCCATCAAATTTGCCGTTCGCAATCCGCCGCGATTCGGTTTTCGGGGTCTCTTATTACGTCGCCACGTTAATGAATTAATTTTATACAAGTTTCGTTGTTTGGATCGCCTCCGTGTTAGTCGGTTCGAATCCCGAACGGCTTCGTGTTTTTCAATTAGCCGCGTCCACTTTCGCCACCTCTTTCACTAAAAATCGCGGTATTAAAAAAATAATTTGAAAACTTGTTAGATTTTGTATTTTTTACGCATATACCCAAAAATGGCAAAAAGTAAAGGCCAATGAGGAAATTAAAAAAACCGAAATTTGTTGATTTCATTTTTGTTTTTGTTTGGTGTTATTAAAGGAGGCATAAAAAAATAAAGGAGACTTTCTCGTATTTTGGGGCTCCACATTTTTTTATTACGAATACGACGATGTAGGACACAATATGCTTCTATATTGTATTGCTTAAGGAAGTTAACAATGTCCGCCAGAAATATTAAAAAAGATATGGACTCAAAGACTCATCTTGAAGTACGCCGGGTGTAATAACAATTTTGTCTGAAAGTGGATCAAAGGCTCCGAGATTGACTGAAGCATTCTCATATACATTCTTTATAACATTGATAAAAATGACTGACACGCACGCACAGACACATTTGTGCCACAGTAAGTTATGACAGACAGAGTCGGAAGCTCAGCTGCGAAAATCAACAAAGACGGCACAAACCTTTTTGCCTTTCAGGTGCAAGGGCCATTGTGCAGGGTGAGTCAAATTTATGAGAAAATGGTAAATTATAAAATTTTAAAGATTGTTAGGATGCAAATATTATTTTACAGCAAGATATGGACTAAAATCAACAAAGATGGCATAAACCTTTCCGCCTTTCAGGTGTAAGTGCAATTGTACAGGGTGAGTCATTAGGATTTTTTTACAGCATGTTTTAAAATAGAAAATCTACTCTATGCCTAGTAATATATTGTTTGAAGGGAGAACAGCTAAAGGAGGGGCATAAAGATTGTCTCGAGTCGCGGTTAAGATTGTCTGGTTAGTTTTTTGGTTTTTTCTTTGGTAGCAGAAATGATTAAGAATTTAAGTTTTACCGAATAAGATTTGACATCCGGTTTCATAATTGTGTTGTGCAACTGATGATGAGTTTAATTGTCGCAGTCTTAAGTCTCTTTCATGTTCTTTGAGCCTAGTTGACATTTTTTTTTGTCCGGTCTCTCCAATGTATTCTTTGCCACATAAGTATAGGAAGCTGTAAACTTCTGGCATTTCAAATGGAATTTTGTCTTTGACGGATTGAATACATTGAAAGATTTTTGGATAAGTGGATAAGAGGAAATCATTTCCAATGTCGAGTCATCTAATGAAATTCGATTTGGAACCGCAAAAATCCATAAAAAATCCAAACCTTCTAAAACTACTATTCCCAAGTCTGAACGCATAAATCTCTAAAATCTAATCCCGACATTGTAATTCTAAAAGCAGATAAAGGAAATGCTACGGTGGGCATGAACACAACTACCAGGAATAAATTCAAGATATTCTTCATCTATAGAAAGCAATCTTAAATCTGGTATTAAGACTTCTTCTCTACCAGAAGCGGTGAAAAAGTCTGCCATCCATAATGACTCGTCTCTACCGACTCTCTAAGATTCACAAACCAGAATTACCCCTTCGACCCATTGTCACCACCATTGGTTCTCCAGCAAATTCTTGTAGCAAAATATCCAGTTTCGTACTTAATTTCATTTCATTGAACAATTACAAATGATTACATTAGATCCAAAGGATTTTCTGGTTAGTTTCGACGTAAAACATCTTTCTATTCTAAAGTCTATTCCTGAAACCCTCAACATTGTTTCAGATATATTAAAATTTATGAACAAATGCCGGAAACAGTTATAGGTTCTTTATTATCACCATTCATCGCGAATATATTTATGGAAGCCTTTGAGAAGAAGGCGTTCGACACCTTTCATCTAAAACCAAAATTGTGGAAACGCTACGTCGATGATACTTCTGTTATTTGATATCATAGTCAAGGTTAGTCATTTAAACTCTATACACTCTAACATACTTTTTAAAATTGAATTAGAAACTAATAATAATTTCCCGTTTTTATCAATAGAAGACCAGACTTAAAATTAGTTCATTCTGTTTGCATCACCATCACCATCTGGCCCAAAAACTATCGGTTATCTACTCTCTTATTCATAGAGACGTAAAACTATTTCAACCTCACTCACTGGACCCGGAATTAAAACGCCCATCACAAAATACACTTCACCACAACCTTTCCAAGACAATGATTCCGAAAGCAACTCCACACTTGCCACTGATGTCCTGCCTCACATTCAAACCATCACTGACCACATATCAAAAGTTTTTATGAAACGTAATAGTAAAATCCGATTTACCACTATTCAAAAATCTCAAAAAATATCATGTTTACAGCATTTCATGTATATGCGACAAAGGATACATTGGAGGGACCGGACGAAAAAATATCAAGTAGGCGCAAAGAACACGAAAGACCATTAAGACTATGACAAATAAACTGGGAAGCAGTTGCCGAATGCAATCATGAAACTGGACATGAAATCTTATATCGATAGAACTAAAAATCTTGCATACAATGTATACTTCCACCAAAAAAAAAAAAAAAATCGTAGAGTCCATATAAACAACTAATATGGGAATCGGTCTTCCGAGACAATGTTCATGCCCTCCTTTAGCTCCGCCCCCTTTAAACAATATACAAGCACACAAGTTCATAGATATAAGAAAGTGACCAATTGCTTTTGAATGGGATTATCCAAGGGTGGTCATTAACATATGCAACGAGATTTCAGCTAGGAAAAAAAGAAACGATGCTGACATTTTCTCGAGTGTAGATGAAAGTGATCAAGATATAATACGGCGCAAAATTTACCGGTTATACGAAGAACAAAGCGTGCCTACATTAGATATCTTAATTAGGAGGCTTGAAAAAGATGAAACGGGTGTTAAATGTGGCAGAACGACCTTATGGAAGTGTATTCAACACATGGGTTTTAGTTGAAAAATTGACAAAAGGCAACTTTTAATGGAATCTTTTAGAATTCGGAAATGGCGACTAGAATATCTAGAAAAAATTAGGAGTTACAGAGAACAACAAACGCCAATTATTTACTTGGATGAAACCTACTTCGACATTTATGATACCTCGAAAAATGGTTGGGCTGACTCAACTGATAAGTGTAAAACAAACGCGCCATCAAAAAGAGGTAAAAGAATAAGTATTTTGCATGCTGGCTCTAAAAATGGTTGGATTCCAAATGGACTTTCTGTGTCTGCGAAAAATATTAAAGATTCTCCTCTGGATTACCATGAAGACACCACCGCTGATTTATTTGAAAATTGGTTTAAAAACAAACTAGTTCCAAACATTCCTCCTAATAGCGTCATTGTAATGGACAATGCAAGTTATCACAGTAGACTAAAACCCCTTCCTCATGTGACGCAAAAGCAACAATCCAAAACTATATGTATAATAACGACATTTATTTTCACGAAGATTATACCAAAAAGCAATTAATTCAGGTTCTACAAAGCTTGAACCTACAAAGGGAATCCGTCTGTAATCTAGGGCATACAGTTTCAAGGCTCCACCATACCACTGTATATTTAATCCCACTGAACATGTTTGGCACTAACTGAAATCTGCCATTTGTCGTAACAATGTTTTTCCCTGTGTTAACCCCAATGTCCTCAAACTTATAGAAGCCGGAGTTTTTAACATCCCTTCACAAAGTTTTGCAAATTCTGTTAAACATATAGAAAAAGCAGAACAATCGTATATCCATATGGCAATAATCATTAGAACAGACGATGATAGCGATAGTGATACTGATATATTATGTGAATAATTTTAAGTAATTTAAGTAGATAATAAAAATAATTTGTAATTTTATTTTAGATTTAAACATAAATACATACATAAATAAATAAATATTATTTAGTACCTTTCCTAACAAAACTCCAAATAATTAAATTCTAAGCAAAGGACGGACCTGTTCGGCCATATTTCATTCTTACAGCTTGCTCGGGTCTTTCCTTAATTCGTATCAGTTAGTCACTTTCTTCTATCTATGAACAGACTTTATATAGTAGAATGCGAACATGTCTTAGTTAAGTTTTGAAGAATCCAACAGGATGATTGGCGAAACGTCAGCAAGTTTTATTTATAAACAACCGACACGAGAGGAATCGAAAAGATTTGTAAATTCGTATTCATACACTCAAGCAACTCTCGCCCTCTCGTCTCAATTAAGGTCTGAGGAAATCAAGAGGATGATTTCTTTGAAAATTTAAGATGGATTTATTGCAATAGTTGCTTGTACGTGAGTCGTAGTTAGTCCGTCCCTGCCTTCATTCGGTCACCTTGTATATATCTCTGGCCCGACTATACTTAACGAGGTTTTACTACTCCAAAACTTTCCGAAACAGACTTTAACATCGACAAGCAAGTTCGGTTAAAACTGCAGTTAATTCACGAACGTACCTTGGAAGGCCGCCTCGAACTGAACTTTTTGATTGTCCTCTTGTTCCCGCGCCAGTCCCAGCGCTAGCAAATAGAAAATGAGGCCCGCGAGGGGCCACCGGCCACCGTCCATGTCGTCCGAAACTGTCGCGTCAGTGGCGGCGGTCCGGGACACTCTCGAAACCGCACATAGCAGCCCTAGAGGCTCGTAAAACACTTTACGACCATCCGACGCGCACCTACGGGCCAGTTATTATTCATGAACGCGTCAACTGTTGAACGTAACATCCAGATTAATCCGCGGGGAGGGGGGCAAAGTCCGGGCGAAATTGCGATCTGTGGTCCCGGTCCACACACTTCCGCGCGTCTCGATATCTAATCGACTCTGCGGGGATGAAATACTATACCCCCGTATTCCCACGTTCAATACCGTCGAAGACGGGGGTAGCGATCGAACGACGCGCGCGCTCCAACACCCCCTGCGGGGGGGTGGGGGATGTTTTCCATAAGAGACGTCCGAACGCCATCTGCCTGCCGGGCGTGGAGTCGCGAATTTATAGACGTGATCGGTTTCTTTGCAGCACGTGATAAATGGTCACGGCTTAGAGTTCGCCCGACGATATACGATTTTTACGATATAATCCGGTATTTAACTGTGGTAAATTTTTTTGAAGGCCTACCTCGCTTGTAACCTCAATAAATAGATTCACAATTCCACGATGACGTTCTCGAACCGTACTTCGGTACTTCGTTCATAGAAATGCTGAAAGTTGACGGATTTGTGTAGAGTTTCATCGGTGAGATCCCTCTATTATTGTTAATCCAACCTGTTATTACTTTAAAATGTTTATCATAAATATAGATGAAGGAAACTTTGCGTATGACAGCGCTGGGTGAACCAAGTAGCTCAAGCTCAAACCCGGATAAGCGATGCTAGCGACCTGCTACGACAAAACAAAATGCTCCTCGATCCAATGGTTTAGATGGGTTTGACTGGACTAAATAGTGACCACCTGTCGAGAACTAGGATTAAGCGCAAAAGGAAACGAACTTTACTTAGAATTGGATGCTGGAATGTAACATCATTTAATAAAGACCAAGAAATCATACTCGAAAAAAAAAGACGCAAATATGTGCCCGTTCGGTGACTAAAAAGAAGGGCAAAGGCAAATAAAGAAATTACATCCTAATAACCTTAACGACAGAATACTCCAGGCGACGATGAACCTGCAAAAATCAAAACCGACGCATATAATAAGTATCTACGCACCCGATGGCAGCAAACCACAGGCGGATATAGACTTATTCAACCAGACATTACCAACAGTCTTAAATGATATACCCAATGAGAACGAAATAATAATCTTGGGGATTTCAATGCAAGAATTGGCGATGAAGTTATTTGTAGTATAAAAAATCGATTTAACGAAGAAACAATTAATAAGAGTTATGCATACAAAACGAACTTAAAATTAACAATACCTTCAATCTGATAAACCACAACAAAAATATATCTTCGAAAATACACGAGGCCATAAATCAACTATCGACTACAAAATTACAAGCCAAAACATCAACGATCTTACAACAAATCCGTTAAAGCGGTAAGCAAATTTAATATAGAATCCCTATCAGGCGACTAGACCAAATGCTTAACCAACCAGGGCTTAGAGAGAATATAGCTGTTAATAATATCCAAAAGACAGATGACGTTGAGACGACATGGATTAATGTATTAACAACAGAAGAAGGCTTTGGAAGAAGAATTACAAACAGAGGAAAAATAAATACAAAACCCTGGTTCAGACAAGAAGTCAAGATCTTACCCCAAGAGAAATGAAAGTCGTGTGTGCATACAGATCCAATGCAATAACGTATAATGATTATAAAGCTATAAGAGAGTCGACGAAAATATTCGAAAAATCAAAAGAGAACACTGGGAGAAGTTTCGAAGGATATGAAACATTACCTATTGGGAGACAGATGAAAATATGGAATCTACTGGAGAATAGCAAAGCACATCACGGCAGACGAATGGGAAAGAAATTTTAAGGACCTTGATAGTTTAACACAATGTAATCCAGCACAGGAATTACACCACGTGAAGGAGGAGAACATCAAGGAACCCCAAAATAGGTTTTTCTCCCTGAACAAAATACGACAAATGACAGCCAAGATAAGGAACAGAAAAGCCCCAGGCATCGACGAAATAACACGAAATACAATCCCTTTTCAATAAAATATACCGTCCGAATTGAAACAAAGTATTTTGATACCGATTTTCAAAAAGGGGGGAAAATCGATCCCCAGAATTATCTAGGCATTAGCCAGATGAGTGAGGTTCTGAAACTATTTACTAAAATGAATGAAGAACAGCAAGGTTTCAGAAATAACAGATCTGCTATATATGCGATATTTATATTTCGCCAAATAACTGACAAAGCCATCGAGTTTAATTTTTATGTACTTCATTGATGTCGCCCAAGCGTTCGATAGGGTCCGCTTAAATAATAAATGATAAATATAACAAGAGTTATTGAAAAACTGAACACGGAAAATTCTACCTTTGTGAGGACGGCAAACAAATTAGGGGCGCATTGTTTGTCTACTGTGCTCCTTTGGGCCACTATGGAACTTTTGCAAAATCGATGTATAGCGTCTCTCACGTATCGCCGAATTTCGAAATCACAACAAACTTTGACAAATATAAAAAATTGTGCAAGCAATAACGATTCCCAATGATATTATTCCAAGTATCTCGCGCATCCTGTATGACAGGCGAAACCTGAAACTTTCTCGATACAGTTTATGACACTGTTTAAACCAAATTATCCCATGTTTTATAGTTTTTCATTTACGGCTAATGAGTTATTTACGAAAATGGCAATTTTCAGAGTCTTGTAGATTTTTTTACCCATAATCGACACACTCTGTAAGTATCTGAAAAAAATCCGGAAATGGAGGTAATATCCCTGGATTTTACACGTTTCCTGGTACAAGAATTTTTCTAAAATAGTAAATGGTTTTCGAGAAAATAAGATTTGTCTGAAACCATGCAGTATTTTTTGATTTTTGATTGATTTTTGACTTGCGGTTAATAATTTACTCCGGAAAAGAACAATTTTCACAGTCTTTTAGATTTTTGCCTATAATTTAAAAATCCTGTATATAATCGAAAAAATGCTTGAAATAAATGTTATAACGCTGAATCCTCCGCGTCTACCAGTTAAAGAATTGTGCCGATCGGGTGAATGTTTATGGAGAAAAACATATTTTTCTGGAAGCCAAACTGACCAAAAAAGGAATTTCAAAAAGTGTTCGGTAAGGAATAAATTTTAATAAAATGTATGTGGTACCTCAATAAGAATGGCACACTGAGTCTTGAAGAACAATTGAATAACGATAAGTTGGTAATTACTAATTACAACACAAGACGGAATAGAAATAACTTCAAAACTGACAGCATACTTCAATTTCACCAACCCCTACAAATCAACTAATAAGAAACTGGGAAAAAATCCATTATAAGTCAATTATCAACATAAAATTGTGTATTGCTTTCCTAAAAATTAGTAGTCAGAAACTTCCCTGCCCAAACATTTATTTTTTGTTAGTGTTGGGTATGCTTTGTTGATTAATGTTGAGATTATTTGCATATTTAAGTTATATATTTTCCATCAAAAGTTTCAGCAGTCTGTGTTCAAGGTCATCTTTCAATAAAATGTTTAATGTTGTGTTCTCATTAGTTTTTGAGGACGGTTCTTTCTGCAGATTTTGGATTAAATAAGTTACAAACTTCTTCTCGAGTTTATGTTGTGTCTCCATATCCAATAAAAATATGAATTTCAATTTCATCGCTTTTGACAAATCACAATCCACATCATTATCACATCACAATTCCGCTGCATACTATACGACTGAACAACATTTTGTACGAGGTTTCGTTCGTCAGAAAAGTCTTATGACTTTTCGGATTTCGGGAGAATGGTTTTGCTACTTTCAAGGGGATTCATAGTGATCCGGGGCGACCATTCAAATTGGGATACAGTGGAGTTTTTGAAGGTTTCTGCTATATTGCTATTACTGCTATTTTCGAAAAAATTCTATAAAATCATGTTATGGTCTGTTCATAGATATAAAAAAGTGGCCAATTGCTCTTCAACGGATTATGCAAGGGTGGTCATTAACATACAATGCAACAAGATCATTACCTTAATTAATAATTTATTAATTAATAATTACCTTAATTAATAATAATAATCTTGTTGCATTGTATGTTAATGACCATCCTTGGATAATCCGTTCAAAAGCAATTGGTCACTTTTTTATATCTATGAACAGAACATACCTTATTTAAAAAAAAGTAACACTTGATGAAAATTCAATTGAATCTTCAGGTTTCGCAAAAGTAACAAAGTTCCAGCTTTACCCTCCTCTTAATTTTTTAATGCCTTCGCAACTGAGGGTGAATTTCAACAGCCTGTAACCACTGTCAAATCAAGCGTAACTAAACACACCGATCAGCGCCGTCTTGTTCCACTATTTTCATACTTTGTGGCTCGCTCTAGCGGGGCCGTACGAATCTACTTCGATTAGGCTTTCTGGCCAATTCGGCTATTGGCCGATAGATGGCGGTGAGAGTGTAAATTTTACAAAAATGTATTTTAAGTCGAATTTAAGTCACGCCATAACTAATTGACTCGTTCGAGTTCGATTCTTTTACTTTTATTTTCCTTATGTATTGTATTAATGTATAATCATTCAGTCTAACAAGTTTTTTATCACCTACCTTACTTTATAATTATAAAACTTACTAAAAAACCTTATAAAAAAGGATATCAGAAAACATAAAATAATTTAAAAATCAACCTAACAAAGCAGAACTAACCAAAAATCTGGAAGTTTAAACATCACGAAAATAAAATTTCAATTGAACCATCGTCCATTTGAACATTTCTTAGTGAAATTTCTAGAATTTCTAAAATATTTCTTCTAGAATCCTAGAAACTTTTTAGACAGCGCCCTCGTGATGCTTTATTTTGGTACTCGATGGCGGATAGATGGCGAGAGTGTTGGCTTGTTATGCACAGCTTCACGAAGCAACATTTTTAAATCGAATTTAAATCGCGTTTTATTTAAATAACCCGCTTGAGTTCGATTCTTTTACTAAGCAAGTGGGGGCATTCTTTTTTAATATTTCTAAAATTTAATTTGATAAATCCTAAATTGAACATTGCCCAGTAAAATCTCTAGAAAATCTAGATTTTTTCTCTATAATTCTAGAAAATTTTTATATGTACTTATTGCGAGCGCACAGGTGGGCAAATAAAAAGACCTCCATTACGGTTAGAAAATACTTTATATATTTACAAACAAATGTCTTTAAATCTGTAGATAAACAACTAGTAAAAATAAGTTAAAAATCGAATCAACGAAGATACGTATTTATACGTTCAAATGTTTTGTACTGACAATCTCGCGCGCATTCGTATACTTACGTCATCGATTGCCTTACCTGTTTTAACACGTTCAGAGTTTCGAAAACAGCCCGAAACAAAATATAAAAATGTTGTGTGGGTTAAAAAAAATTATTAATAATTCTGTGAAATTCTATCTCTCTGGTATAATGAAAATTTGTTCCTGACAATTTGAAAAAAAAAATATTTTTGGTTTTTTTAATGTTTCTTATATACGAAAGAGCTGAAAGCCCACCGGAAATAAAATCTGTCTCAGACAAGTCAGAATTTGTGACTTAATTCACAATTTCTGAGAAGCAAATAAGAACTTCTGAGAAACAAGTCAGAATTTCTGATATAAGTGCCTCGTAAGGGACATGGCGACTCAAAATATCGAATACACAGGGTAATTCATAAATAATGAGCCTCTCTAAATTGGAAGTACTGAACATCAAAATTTTATGAAATCCCAACATTTGTTTTGAACTTTTTTCATAACTATTGCCAAAGTTGTTTAAAATATTATTTTTGTATTGTTCCCTATGCCGCGTCATCTTTCAAGTAATTATAGTAATTACGAAAAAAATCGGGAAAAACACCTTACATTTTTCATTTTTTAAACCAAATGTTCTAAAACGATATCCATATCTTGTGACTTAAAAATTCAAATTTTAAACACATTCTACTTAAGTCACCTAAAACGGATGAAAAATATAATTTTTTGATCGCACCTCGTTCACAAAATAAAATTTACATAACATCTAATAAAATTACATGTCAAATTTTTTTACATCTCACGGAGGTACCTAACTTTGATATTTTTGAAAAAACAATTGATAGTCTAGCACACCAAAATTCGGAAAGCTCGAACCCAAAACCGATAAAATTTCCGCACGAAATTTTCAATCCCGTTAACAAACGTTGTTTCCTTTCTTATAACTGTAAAAAGAAGACGACTAAAAAATTATTCTGTGAGACTTACATCTACACCTAAGTTTAGTTAGAACTTTCTTAACGAACGATATGTGGTAACGTCAAATTTTCGTGTTTCGCTGAGCTGCAGCTCCATCAGTCGACTGTTTCTCGAATACGTTGAACGTCTAGTTATTGTCCATGACTGTAGACTTCAAAGTGGTCCAGGTCTCCTCGATGGGCGCCAAAGCCGTTATCACAATGAGAGCTATCACGATCGCTATTATTATTAGTATGTACACAGCTAGGAGCCCTTTCCTGACGTTCGAGAACTGCAAAGGAGATAAATTCGTTTCAAGTTACGAGAAATCAGTAAACGCCGAAATATTACGGACTTTTTGCACCACTTATATAGCTAACGTTTTACTTTAATCTGTCTACGCACCATTGTGTCAGTACTTTGAGACCTGTGTACACTGATTTTTGCAAGACTTTTGACAAGGCTCATTACCACACTCTTTAGTGTTTTAACACTCCAGATTCATTCGCAGATGACTTAAAAGTAAGAACAGAAATCCATTCCCAATCGAGCATTTTGGAAATCCAGAAACAACGCACTTTTTTTAAATCTCGATGAATCCTAAGCAATACATTTTACAAGAAAAGAGAAACAATCAATTGACTTAAAATTAGACAATATAAAACTTGGTTAAAGTTACTCATAATACTGGACCATCAGTTAACATTTGAAGCACATTTAGAAAACATTGTAAAGAAAGGCTCGATATATCTTGGTTTTGTAATATGTAACACTAAACACTTCAGCAACCACAAATTAGTCATTCCAATTTATAACAGTACGATTTTAGATATAATATTTGTATGAAAATAAATCATTAAGGTTACTTGAAACACGCAGAAACTTTTCAGATGTAATTTTTCTTTATAAAATTGTCAACAATCTCAATGAGTCACCTTCCTGTACAACTCACTTATCTGTTAATGCTAGTCAAGTGCGCACTAGGCTATTTTCAATGGACAGGTTGAGATCTAACTAATTCTCAAACTGTCTTCTTATTAGACAAGCTCGTAAGTATTACAACTGTGAAAACACGAACTTATTCAATTTAAGCCCTAATTTCTTTAAAAGAAAGGTCTACATTTTTGTCAAAATCAATAAGAACTAAAAGTTCAGATTTTCACGAAATTATATATTATGACATGACAATTGTTTCGACAACACCGTGTCTTTATCAAACATTGGATAAAGACACGGTGTTGTCGAAACTATTGTCATGTCATAATATATAATTTCGTGAAAATCTGAACTTTTAGTTCTTATTTATTATGATAAACGGATTTTCATCAAGTAAAAGGCACCTCAGTTCAATTTATACAAAATGTTGTTACATTCTTTTTGTACTCTATATTATTAGCTTAGGAAATATCTAGTTAAGTTTTCTTTTATATTTCGGACCATTAAATCTTATATATTTGGACAGCCTTTGGGTTTGTAAATAAATAAAATTATTAATTATTAATTAATTATGTTTTATGCCTAATTAAGTTTAATGAAAAAATTATGCAACATAAAAAATAAAATAAAAAAAATATTTATTTTACGTTTTATTTAGAAAAAAAAAGTGATTGCATCAGTTGTTCATGAAATTTACTAAAGAAGAATCTTCTCCACTCAGAAAGTTTTTTTCTTGCATTGTAATACTAACGTAATATTTGTTTTTCGTTTAAATAAATAATAAAACATTACTTTCAGCCATATTTGTAATGCGTTATCTAACACATGGTTGGCTTTATTTTAAACAAGGCAGTTTAAGTTTTTCCTATTTGTTTTCAAACACCCTGTACATCGTAGCCAGATTATCATCATTATCGTCGTTTTATGAACTACTTTGGTCGGTTTTTATTTAAAAGTAAAAATGTCTGTCAGGTTATGTTCAAAAGCAATGCTATAATCAAAACAATACTGTATATCCTTATTTTTTTTTCTCCACTTTTTGAACAGTATCTCGAGCATTATGATTATTTATCGAACACAAAACACAAAAATAAATAAACATTGAGCATCCTTACATAAAATTGAAATAACAGTGATTCCGTTTTAACTGTTATATTTTTACTTAAAATTTCAAAAATTTTAAAACTGGCCTTTTAATTTTTGTTGTATGCATATTATAAATAAAATAAATTTGAGTTCTAAAATCACATAAATTCTATGTACAATTTCAACAAACTCCATGTTTGTAAACAGCAGTCAGTGACGTACTTTCATCATCATTCAATAGACTTTTCTTAAATCTAATGGTAGATGGCACTCGAGTCATATAAATCCAAATTCAAAAATTCGTTAAATTTTAAAGTCAAAAATTATTGAACCGGAATCCAGTGTTAACTTCAAATTTATTTATTTATTTATTTACTATAACAAGGTACCCTAACATGACGAACTAACTTCACAACACCTAACCAAAAAAGTGTCAATTTCTTTTAGTTTGATCAAAGAAATAAAAATTTATGAGGTAATTAGTTTAAAAGATTTATTGCGACGGAAAAATATTTATAGATTAATTTGTAAGTTCTCTGTGAATAACAAATTATATTATAAAAAAAATATGATGAAATATGTTCGCGTTCATCTAATTAATAAAAAAATTTTTTTTAACGTATTTAATTAATTTTATTTGTTTAATTTAATTTATTGGAAATAATTTTAATTTTAATTAATTAAAAATTTAATTAAAATTAATCACCAGCGAGAACATACAATACATAACATTAAAAATCACAGTTAAAAAATAATCAACCTTAAACATAAGAAGAGCCTTTTATAAAATGACTGGATTTATAATATGACTGCGACACATACACTGTCTAATTTTATATTTGATTTTCTAGTCGATGAGTAAAGTGCAAATGTCAGTTACCATTTGTATTTCAAACAACCAGATCGTAATGGGATGATAAAAACGAAATCCCATAGATTTTTTTAAATTAGAATCCAGCGGCGTGCTCGGATTTTTTGTAAAAGATACGACTTTTTAGATACGAACCAAAGTGTTCTTTTTAATTTAAATGTGATTGCACTTTGCTAAGCGAATTAGTTTTGTCAAGTTTTGTCAAGAAATATATCGCTAGTAAATGATTAACCAAGGAATTGTAAAAAGAGTAATAGGCATGATAATATCGTATTATTTTGGTTTTTTTATCACGATCAGATTAAAATCATATTTAAGAAATAAAGAAAAATAAATTAAATATCATTTGTATAGTAAATAATGAATTGAAGCTTTATTTACTAAATTCGAGATCACAAAACTTCAATAACAAGTCGTAAAGTGGAATTTTTTGGCAAAATGAAACATTTTTTTGAGCGTCAATTTCTTTTATTCAAATTTGAGGTTAGGATAAAGATATTGACATGCAGTTTTCACTAAGTTATTGGACTCTTATGTGACTATCTAATGACGTAAAAAAAATTCATTTCGTTGCATTTATTCTTTTTTCAAAAAATATTTTTTTCCGATTACGTCAGTAAAATCCACCTTTTTTTTTGTAGCATTTTCTGTTGGCCGGTTTACTTAATAAAAATTTTAAAAGTAAGAAAATTATATAAAAAGCGTTGACTTAAAAAGAACTTCAGGTCGTATTTTAAAAATTATAACTGAAATTTTGTGTCACCCCGTATCACCCAATTTTGGTTTATTGGCGGCAGTTTATTTTGCATATTTTTATAAAAATCATTAACTTACCGGCGCGTCGGGACTTCGATCGTTGTAGCCGGAATTCCGGCCAGAAGCGCCCAAATCTTTCATCGGAAACGAGGTGACTCTTCGCTCAGATGACTTCTCGGCGGTGCAGTTGAGAACCTGGAAAAATAATTAAATAATAATAATAATAATAATAAGCGAAAAGACTCAGACAACGATGTAGGAGGAAAATTAACGAGGAAACAGAACAAAGATGGAAAAACAAAAAAAAGCACGGACAATATGCCAGAGAAGTCGATAAGGATGGTGTGCACAAGAGGCAGACATTCAGATGACTGACAACAGGAATATTAAAGGGAGAAACAGAATCTTTGATAGTAGCTGCGCAAGACCAGGCCATTTCAACCAACTATATCAGGAAAAAAATATTCAAAGAAAAAGTAAACTCAAGATGCAGACTTTGTAAACAATATGAAGAAACAATTAAGCACATCACCACAGGCTGCCCAGTCCTAGCAAGGTAGTAATATCTTGATGAACAAAAAACTTTGAAGCCAAAGAGGAAATCACAATAATATGGGACACGCAAGTACAAACAGACAGGACTGTGACGGCAAACAAACCAGATATTATAATTAAGGACTTTAAAAACAAGACATGTCTATTGGTAGACATTGCCATACTATCAGTGTGACTAAGATGACTTTCGGGGTGGATTACTGCGTCATCATTAATATCAAAAAGTGATAAGTAGTATCAAAAGAGCATATCTCCTTAAAGGGTGCCCCTCAGAATCAAAAGATAGATCGCACCCAACTGAAGAAAATATTTGGAGAAAAATATTGACATAGTGTAACAAATGTTATGAATACCAAGTCCTCTGCAAAAAAATCAGATCACCGCCTTCAACAACTGGACAGTTCCTGTACTAACTCATACGTTTAAGATTCTGAAATGGTTTGACGCAGACTTAAATGAGATCGATTAAAACGCACCCGCTTGCACCCGAGAGCGTTAGTAAAATGCTTATATCTATCACGAAGACAAGGAGGAACAGAGGTGGTTAATAATTACAACATCTGTCGTTTGCAAGAACAGTAGTTTCTTCAGTGGAACGATATGCTCATGCAGTGGACAGCGGAACAAGATGACAATTTCACTACCTTGAAACTACAGCACAAACAGGTAGAATTCGATATTAAAACAAGGCAGAAAAAAATACGCCGATTGGTCAGATAGGGGGACATCTCTGAGATGGCCTACATCTGATCAACTCTATCCTGAAACTGCAGGATTTCTTATTACTATTCGAAAGTATTGCCTAAAGCTCAATATCGAGGACAGATAAATGAAATGTGGTGAGTCTGGAAACTCCATATCATGGCGGGCCCTCAAAAAATAATGCTATAATCAACTGACAAAGAATACATCAGCAACTGGCTCTTTAAAATAGACTGCTACGGACATGGCTTCCTTATTATAAATACCAACCTTCCCCCGTGCTGGGCTCTACTGGGACCGCCCTATAACAACAGACCAGACTGTCGACTAGAATAGGCCGGATATAGAGCTTATTAACATTAATAGATATTTTTCTACTCCCGTCTGTAAAATACCTAATTACCCACGGATCTAGCGTGCGGGAAGCGTCACTTTACCACGTCAGTTTCGTTTCCCATGCATCCGAGCCACTTCGGACATTTCCGGGATTTGACCGCACGGATTTGGGACCAATCGGATGTTTTCGGTGATATTTCCCACGCTTTGAATTTTGCAGTTTGTCAATTCCGACGGTTATATCAGTAAATATATTCGTGTTGTTTTGCGAAAATGTAACCAAAAACTAACGGTCGTAGAAAAAGTATAGTATGCAACACGTTCGGTAAACTTTTTAACTCACCCGTTTATTAAAAACTCGCTCCGCTCGTGTCATTGTTGCATAATATACTATTTTCTACCTGTACCTGTATCAAGCATGTTTGGCAGTTGCCTACCATTCGTAATATCGGCGGAAGGTATACTCTCTGAGAAACCCGAAAACGATTGAATTAAGGACCAACATTACTGCAAACCTGCCATCTAGTAGGAAAATTCATGGGACTAACTGAACCATTGATTAGAACCCGATATGTCAGAATATCAGAGCAAATATAAATAAATAATAATAACAATGGTTATTTATAAATCTTCGGTACAAGTCAATGCAAAAAATACACTTAAATATCTACAGAAGCATATCTAACTGCTTGTGAGCGGAATTTTTCATAAAATATAACCGGGTTAGACAAAATCAATACGTATGTGCCCAAAATTAAAAGAGTAAAAAAAGTGAAACATTTTATTAGAAATAAAAATCAGCAAAATACACTATAACTTAAAAGGTTTAAGGTTCCGAAGAAAACAAAGAATAAGATGGTCTCAAAATCAATAGATACGCACATTAAGTGAGTTAACCGAACGTGTTGCATACTATACTTTCTCTACGACCGTTAGTTTTTGGGAAATATCACCGAAAACATCCGATTGGTCCCAAATCCGTGCGGTAAAATCCCGGAAATGTCCGAAGTGGCTCGGATTCGTGGGAAACGAAACTGACGTGGTAAAGCGACGCTTCCCGCACGCTAGATCGGTGGGTAATTAGGTATTTTACAGACGGGAGTAGAAAAATATTTCAAATTCATCAGATCTTTGAAAGTTTTTCTGCAATCATCGAATATCCCACATTCAACAGTTATAGAGAATTTTTTAAACGTGTTTATAACAGCAATATGAACCAGAAGCATATTATATAGCCGCGGTGTAAAATAATTACTTGCACGCTGGCCAATTGTCTTTAAACATGTCGTGAAATAAGTCCACTGAGTCGAATAAAATGTATTTTTTTGTATACATCCCTCAGTAATGTCACTGAAGTAACCGAAAGCTTTTTTGTATATCTCTAGGTTGTTTAAGTGACACATCCAGCCCAAGCAAGAGTTCTGTAATACAGGTGTCATTGGTCAAGTGCTTTTCAGTTGTGAAGGGGTTAGACAGTCTCACAACTATCTAAAATGCGGTAAAGCACCTCTGATATTTTTTTAATATTCCATATTTGCAAGTCTTATTTGAGACGACGGTCAGTAATTATTCCCAGATCTTTTAGAGATTCGGCTTCTAAAATCTCTATGTTGTCATCTATCTTCGACGGGTAAAGATTCGACAAATTGTTGCTGTTTGACGTATCGAGTTTTATCAAAATTCAGACTTATATTGTTGCATCTAAACAACAACACAAACATTATAGACTTTCGCTTTCTGTACCACTTTAAATTTTGCAATACCGTTAGCAAAATTCATTATTTTTCTAAGGGAATCTATTGCCATTAAATCATTTACATAGATGAGGAATAACAGCGGCCCTAGTACTGTGCCTTCCGGTATACCATCTCCGCACCGCTGATAACCCCTCTACATCAACGTACTGGGTTTTGTTAGCGAGATAACATTTTATGCTACTGTATAATATGACCAAAAATATAGTGCATTTATTGCTTTGATTGTTTTAAGTATTTTATTGTACCTTAACCGCATACCTTCGCAGGACCGTGGTAAAACCCATCCCAACAGATGTTTATTCTGCAAGTAGGTGCTTCAGTTGGACCGTAATTTGATTAAGCATTGATGCTGTGGGGTATTTTCGATTAAGTAGAAGCGTTTCTTTTTTTAACATCAGGTTTTATGTATCGTTCTTAAGAATTGAATTTAAATTGCGATTGATCCTCCCAGTAAGTACATATTTATGTACCTGATTCTCGAACTTTGACCCTGCGAGGCTGTTTTCACTGGCTAGCTCAAAGAGTAAGGGTAAATAACTGTACTCTATTTACCTTACAACATTGTTCTTCTTATATTTTTGTGTCTTCTACATAATTTTGACTTCAACCGGCTTTTTTAAGACTATAAAGGTACATTATAAGAATACGAATAAATATTTAATGGAATCTTACAATTAAACATTTTTTGAAGATTCCTGTTTTTTAACACTTTAAAATGAGGAGACCGTGGAATAAAGCGGATGTTCCCCTGTTAGAAGAAGACATGGAAAACAACGCAGAATTTGAAGACGTAGTGGAGATGGTGGTCGAAACTAATGACAATTTAGAAGACGCACTACATCACCAAATAAAAAAAAATCGGATGCTAAACAAATTGTTTCGAATGTTTACAATTTTAAAAGAAATTCAGAAGGGGAAATAGGGGCAGCAATAAAAACAAGTGACATGATCAAAAATTCCGAAGTCAACTGTTAGAAAAATTGTTGCAAATGGGATAGTCAATAGGAAAGTGAGAAAGTTGCTGGTATTTCGTGAGTTTTTAAAGAGCAACACGCAGATCTAAACGAGTAATAAAAGAATAAAATATTTATCGAGAACGATTAGTGCCGTTGAACTAGGTGACGATAGTAGCGATAGTGACGATTTTTAAGTGACTGATACTTTATTATATTATATACATTATGTTATATTATATTATTATTAATTAATTCCTAGGACTGTCCTGGAATTGTTACGTGTAAGGGTCTGCGGTTTTGGAGTAATAAACTGTAGGCAACGTTAATCACGGGGTCGGTTGTGAAAGCACTATATGTCTGGTGCAAGTATAAATACATTTTCGAAACCCATAACATATCATTTTGTACAAAACTCTACAGTGGCAGACAAATGCCTTGAAGAGATCTAAAAATACGGAGACATACTAGGCATTTTCGAAATTAATGTATCGTAAATCTGCTCTGAAAGATCACAAATTGCGTCCGAGTCACTAAACTCTCTAAATCCATGCTTACGATTTGGTATTATATGATATTTATCTAAGTTTCATATATCACGAAACTTTGGTTCTGCGCCATACATTCTAGGTTGCGGAAAGTGTGTGTAATTTGGAAATCGGAGTTATACGGGGGGCAAAGCATTACGAAGAGCATAATAATAATAAAATTAAATTTTTAAATTAAAATTATTAGCATGATTGTTGCTTAATATCTTAGGGTGTTTCAATTTGGTAAGTTCCTATCTACATTCCTTTCAATTTTGCGACGTTGCCGCTTCGAAAAAGTAGCATCAACAATGAAATTTTAAATGGGACACCTTGTGTATACTTTTACCCACGAGTATATCTTTAGTGGTTTTCCAGAATTTAATTATTTTCTTTATTTTTCGAGCAAAAACATTGCTTCAATTAAATTGTTATTAATACGACACTGCAGCCAGTTGAATGTTTATATTTTGTACATAGCTTAGGCAGATATCGAACAGAATGTCTGTCGCTTAAGAAGGTACTGTACATTATATATTAATATTAATACTGAACTTAGGTCTATATCATACAGGGTCGGTCAAAACTAATGGTTTGCTAATGACTGCTAATACGAGATACAAAATTGGCGAACAGTGAATTTTTTAAGAAAAATGCAATACATGTTCTACGAGAAAATGAAATGCATTTTCGAATGATGCCGATTATGTACCTATACCTAAATCGTTTGGTTTCTGAAATAAAAGGCTTAATCTAAAAAATATGTTCAATCATGTTATGTTTGAGAGTTCAATAAAGGTTTACTCATAATTGATTGCGGTGCAAATTTTGTCGATTAAATCGGTTCGACCACATTATAGCCGGAACATGCAGAAAATTTAATGAAACGAATCTTGACTTACAGCACACGAACAAAGGAAAATTTTCCAGAATTAAAAACAGCTTGATAAACCATTTAACGAAAAATAGTTTGAAAAACTAACGGTCGTAGAAAAAGTATAGTATGCAACACGTTCGGTAAATTTGTTAAGTCACTCGTTTATTAAACACTCGCTCCGCTCTTGTCAAATATACTCGTGAGTCAAATGCCGTTTACCGCACTTGTTGCATAATATAATAATATATAATATATATATAATATTAAGATAACTTAGCGGTGCTGATTAATGTGCGTATCATTGATCTTGAGACCATCTTATTCTTTGTTTTCTTCGGAACCTTAACCCTTTTAAGTTATAGTGTATTTTGCTCCGCTCCGCTCGTGGGTCACATGCTGTTTACCGCACTTGTTACATAATATACTATTAACGCACCCCATGGGTAAAAGTTTAATAGATGAATTGTGCCAAATCAATTTAGTTATCGGAAAAACTTAGGTATAGTGATAGTATACAGGGTATTCCACATTTAAAAAAAAGCACTTTTTAAGACAATCTGTTTGACATCTCCCAAAGCTATGTCCAAAATTTGAATTTTCTACTGGCTCCAGTGTCCTTTTTCGACGAGGTGACAACGTCGCAACGTTAAAAATATTTTAGCACAACAATTTTTAGCACAATTAGTCAGTATATCTTATATGTGTACTCTACTATCTTAATGGTGCTCAAAAAAATCAACCAAAGTTAATTTATGGGAAGGGAATTGTAGCTGTAAGTCTTTAGCTGTTATACAAGATATATGGTTTTGTTGGTGGTTCTTTGGTTTGGTCGAAATCTTCTTTTATGCTCCTCGAACAATGTCGAAAATTTGTTATGAAACAATTGGTGTATTAAGTACCAAGAATCACGTTTCCCATATAACGTAAAATTCTTACCGAAAGTACTAAATGGCTTATGACGTGGACGACCACGTACGCGACCAAAATCCAATCGACGAAATCCGGAAGTTCTGCCTTGGTGAGTCTCACAGCGAAAAATAAGGTGACAACTACAAAATTGCAATAAAATAAATCATAAATAACTTAGCTCGAGAATAATAAGCAAATATGGCGGTTTAAAAAATTATAAGGCTTACTCGCTATGATGTGAGCGGAATTTCCGATCAACCAGTGCAACCAGTTGAACACGGGTCTGGTGGAGGTGCCGGGATGCGGTCTAAAGTATGCCCCGATCGGTTGAATGAAGCACAAAATCGTGGTGACGGTACCCAATATGGCGTGCGGGTTCTTTTCCGCGGACCACGCTTTCAGTTCGACGAAAATCAAGACGAAAGCCACAGTCGTCAGGGCCCATGTAAGAATCATGAACGTCCTGTGCCACTGCGAGCAAACGAGAACATTTAGCTACGGACTAAACTTAGTATCTTCGTTATAGTTGATTTTATGGAAAAAAAATAAGGCAAACGTTGTTTATATTGATGTGGCGCAAGCATGGAAATAGTTATTGTTATACAGGGTATTTGGAAAGAATCCCGCGGCAGTTTGCTACGCCTTGTTCCTGTATAGTATAACAAAATATAAAATTAAACAAAAATTATTTAGGTCAGGGTTGGGTACGTCACGATGGACGTCTAGGTGCGTGCAAACTTATGCCCTAGCTCGGCGACAACAAAAGGTTAACGTCTTGCACTACTGCGAGCAAACGGGAACATTTGGCTGCGGAGTAGATTGCGAAAACGATGCGAATTCTATGATCTGAAAAATGTATGACAGAAAAATAACCTTATATTGGTGGAATCGGTTCTAGATTATGACGCTGTGGTTCGGGAAAGTGCCGGAAAGACCATAAAAAGGTTTAACGCATTTTAATAACGTTGAAGAAAAATGAATTTTCTTAGTTTTATTTGGTACGTTCGGGACAATTAGTTATTAATAACAACTTTTTTTTAATATTAAGTTCTTTTATTAATATTTTAGGTTTTCATAGGACAGTTGGGCCCTTATTTGATTATCTAATGGCATAAAAATCTAACATTGTTCTGTTTATCCTTAGTTCAGATTTTTTTTTTTGGCAGTTTTAAGCGGCTGAAATACTTCTCACAGTGGATGCGGGCACGCGGCGATATTAAAAACCCGCGGAATCGTCCGAATTTGTCCTATTAGATGTTTACGGAGAATGACTTACGGTAAAAACCTGAAATGTTGGCTACTTTTGTAAGCGGATATGAGCTATGGTCTATTCATAGATATAAGAAAGTGACCAATTGCTTTTGAACGGATTATCCAAGGGGGGGACATTAACATAATAAGCTACAAGATTATTATTATTAATTAAGGTAATTATTAATTAATTAATTATTAACTATTAATTATTAATTAATGTAATAATCTTATTGCATTGTATGTTAATGACCACCCTTGAATAATCCGTTCAAAAGCAATTTGGTCACTTTCTTATATCTGTGAACAGACCATACCTATGTAAAATATTTTTGCCCATGACGTGTTGTGTTGTTCGTTTTTTAAATGGAACAACATGTATATTATTACATTTTTAGATTCTGCGAAATCTTCTGGAACATACCTATGCCAAGAAAGAAAGAAAGAAAAACACGTTGAAACAGATGTATATTGAAATCGCTTCTCTCGTACAAATTGTCAATGTTTCTGATGACCAAAAATGATTTCTTCTGTTAAAAATGCTCTCCGTGAAAATTTTGGCTCGTCCGCCCAAATAATTCTTTTCAAAAAATCTCGATATTCTTCGATTCTAACCAATATCTTCTCACTAAACTCTACGCCTAATGGTGCATCACGAGGAAGAAGAGATGTAATGTAATTATTTTGTAATTATGCATATCATGTTTCGTCAATATCCGTTGAATGGAGAACAAGATATGCCTAAATTATGCGTGAAAATATGCTAAAACGTTGTTTTCTTTATTATGATGTCTTTCATTGTGAAAGTCTAACTGGACTTAACTGAAATTTGCGTACTGGCCAGTAAAATTCCGCTTTCGGGGATTTTTACTTTCGAAAATCGATGAAATCGAATTTTCGAAAGTATCTGCGCTAGTATAAAAATTTTATATCTACAAAAATGATCACCGTCGAAAAGAAAAAAAAAATTGTCTGTTTGTCCGTTCTCCGTTCTCCGTTTCCGTCTTTTGGTTTTTCCTGAATAACTTTCGAACCGTTGGAGCTACAAAATTGAAATTCACCCCCTTTTTAACCGTCCACGAGGCACATAAGCTTGTAAGAAATGGCCCTGATCCGACGCCGGTATCATCTATTTTTCGCGATTTTCGAATGTTTTTTGGACCTTGTTGTGAAACACGATAAGTGTCCGAAATTTGAAGCAATCGACTTCATATTTGGCACATATATGCAGCTTTGCCCCGTGATGGAATATATTGAAAATGGGGGGGCTGAGGGTGGGGAAGTATTCTAAAAAAATAAATAATCGCGTGTGCAAGAGTCCATAAATAACAACATTTTTCAAAAACTGTTTACGAGACCAAAAAAATTCTTGAACGAAAAGACGCAGAAGATACGGCTCTATAAACTTTTATTTTTGATAATTTTTCAAAAATATACAGGGTGCGCCGCAAATTCAAAAAAACTGAAAAATTGGTCCCCCTATTATTGAAAATTGGTTATAACTGAAAGACTATGATTCAGATCTCACTTCCTTTTATATTGCGATTTAGCCCGCATAGACAGAACAAATTTTTGTATTTAAGGTTTTCACCTATTGTACAGGGTGTTCCCTGCTAAATGAAAAATGTGTTAGGTGTCATAAATTTGCAGATATCAACTTCAAATTTAGCAGAGAGTAAAAGTCCGTGTCCACATTTAAACGGTAGAAATTGAGCGCAATCCAATTTTACGAAGTACTTTTTAAAAATGTTTGAGAATTTTTTTTTGGTAATTTTAGCTTCCAGAAAAATATGTTTTCCGCGATAATCGTTCATCCGATTGGCAAAATTCTTTAACCGGCAGACGCAGAAGATCTAGTGCAATAATATTTATTTCTGGCATTTTTTTGATTATATGGAGAGATTATTATTCGTCGCAAATCAAAAATCGTAAAAAATATAGCTAATTGGTTCAAACGGCGTCATAGGCCGCGTCAAGACCTACAATTTTTGTATTTGCAGTTTTCGTCTATCACAGACGCTGCCCGGGATATTTGAAAAAATCCATATTGAAATCGTTATTTCGGGCACCGTCAAGACGCGATGACGTCATTGATTATTACGGCGAACTGCATGGTTTCAGAAAAAACTTATTTTCTCGAAAACCATTTCCTAAATTCTTGATCATTCTCATCATTAACAAATTGAAAGGAACAATATGTAAATTATTTGCTATACACGTTTACCCAAAATTTTTAGTTATAACGAACTAAAACTTAACACAATGTCCTAGCATAGTAAACATTACGGGTATTAAAGATCTGGTGAAAGCGCCAGGCATTGCACAATAAAATACAAGTACTTGAAATAAGTGCCGCCACCTGCACGATAAAGAACGTAATATGCGTGACGATGTCTCGTCTATTGAGACTAATACATTTGGATTATGAGAAAAAGAAACCCAACATTTTCCCGATTTACCGAGAACCGCATATCTTTTCCTAATAGTTTGTTGCCGACCCACTAACTAACTAAATTTTTCTGAATAAATAACTTTAATTGACTACCTAAATAGACATTGTGAGTCAAATAATAAATGGCCACGTTAGGTATTGTCTGATTTTTTTGCCATTTGCATGTTGAAGCTCTTTATTTCCGAACAACTTTTATTAATATTATTTTCCCCATGAAAGATGTCAAGGTACTTCTTTTTTTTCCTTTTTATCATCGACAGTGTAAAGTTTCTTAAAAATTTATAGTCCTTTCAATCATTATGATCCTTTGTCCTTTTAAATTTTTTTAACGCAGTGTCCCTTTAGTTATGCGGGCTTCCTGAACTGGAGCATGTCGACTAAATAAATCTAACATGAGGATATTCAATAATGAGGAAAAAAAGCCAACATTTTCCTGACTTACCGCAAACCACATATCCTTGCCGCATAGTTGGTTGCCGACCCACGTTTGCCTGTAATATCTCGCCAACAAAATGCCGACCGAGGCTGTGCCCAACCAGGCAGCCAGCATGAAACACCCGTGAAGGCGCACGAGAAGCTTGGAGGCGGCCGCCAAAGCCGAAACGTCGGACAGCGATTGCTTCTGCGCGCTTGCCAAAAATGACAGGTCGTGGAATGACACGGACGAGGCTGCGAATTAAAAATAATCACTGAAATTCGTAACAAAAAAAAAACGAAATAAATTGTCTTAATGCTCCCGATTTAAAGTTGACGCTTTTAATTTACCGGAATCGTACTTTAGCAGGCGATTGCAAAAAGTTAATTTTAACTTGTTCTCGGAATGGGCTTGTTTGCAACATTCGCTTTTGAAGTTTTTTCTTTCACTTAATTGAATACCATTTTGAAGTAATTTCAGTTCAAAGATCGTAAGGCGTTAGAAAGCGTAGACGGATTTGCGACGTCATTCCCCGAGTTATATTTATTGAGATTTTTATGATAATTTACTGTTTTATTCAAAATTAGGACTTTATAAGTGCGGAAATACTAATAAAATTACGGTTCATGCTACCTTAAATATTTATGGCGAAGGGTACATTAAATTGTTATGAAAATTTGGTTATTTCCTTAAGCGGCGATGCTCTATCAATCTAAAATATTTTTAACGTTGCGACGTTGCCGCTTCTTCGAAAAAGTTGCACCAACATTGAAATTTTAAATAAGGCTCAATGTATATTATTGCATTTTCCGATCCGCTAATACTTTATGATTATTTTGAATAATATGTCTTTGGTGGTTTTCGCGAAATTAATTTTTTCGACCAAACCATAACTTCAATTAAATTTTTGTGACTATGACATTGGAGCCAGTAGAGAGTTAAAATTTTAGCTTAGGGAGCTTCAATTATTGTTAGGACTTAAAGTCATTCAAATATTGATTTTCATCCTACTTTTTGTCAATATGTACGTCAGAATTGATATTTCGTCTGAACGATTGCACATTGTTTCGGTAAATAAAATATTTATTATTATTATTATTCTTTCCATTTCCACAGGTAAGTACTTTGGACACGGCTTTCAGCAAGTGCCCAAATAGTTTTGTGATGTTAAATCTGTTTTGTTTTCAGGAAGGAATTGACATTCAAGACCCTCCGAGCAATGTGGCATGTTCGCAGTATGGCCGCCTTCTGAAGCTTAAGGTACAGTTTTGATGGTAGTTGAAGCGTTTGAAGGCTCCAGTGTAGTTTTAGAGGTATTTCACCAGTTGGTAACACAATTATTGGCACAATAACCACTTTTTCTTGGTTCCAGGTTGTTTTCACTTCGGCGGCGAGTGGCATATATCTTCGGACTTTCTCAACCTGTGTCCCAGGACGTTATGGACAGCCGGTGCAGCAATATCTATCAGGTACGTAATTTTGTTGAGTTTGTCTTGTACCACAATGTCTGGCCTATTGTGTTCCATAATGTGATCTGTTAATATGGTTCTGTTCCAGTATATTTTGTGGATTTCACTTTCAGTAACAGGTCCTGACGTGTAGGCATAGTAAGGAAGGGTGTCCATCAAAACACCAATTCTTTGGACTATTTCCTGGTGTATTATTTTAGCTATGTTATCGTGCCTTCTGGGATATTCTGGTGGAGCTAAGGTTGTGCATCCAGCAATTATGGTTTCTGATTTGGTTTGGTACATTCTGCACTTGTCATCTTGTACATCTGGGTGTTCTATTATGTACTTGCGGTAGTTAAATGTCGGATTACCTGATCTTGAATGGCGTGCATAAAGCCCTCAGTTTCCGCCATCAGCGTACTGTTTTCTAACCAGGCGTTGGAGGCACTGGTGTATATTTGGACAAGTGTAATTGTAGCGGGGTACCGTCCATGTAGTTCTTTTGATTTCCATCTCTGCATCGTATCTTCAACAGTTGTTATTTCTAGCAATGGTTGATAGTCTTTATCCGCCATATTAAGAGGCCTGAGTTTCTTATCTGCATTCACGATGTTGCGGTGGTACGTGGATGTTGTGCTTTTTTCATAAAAGAACCTTCTCAGTTCGTGAACTCGTTCTTGGTGGGCATCTTTTAGGTCTAGTACACTTCATTCTCCTTTCTTTCTTTATAGATAGAATCTTTCTATGGAGCTTTTAGGGTGTCTGGCTCTATTTTTTATAAATTGTACTCTAATATCACGGTTCATGCTTTGAATATCAGTACTGGTCCATTTAATTAGAACGAAACTGTATGTGACTGTTGGCATACCATAGGTGTTGATTGCTTCTATTTTGTTTGCAGCCGTGAGGTGCGTTTTCAAAATAGACCTGATTCTACCCATTAATCGATTTCGTAAATTAAAATGGCTCCTTACCTGTCGCACTCGACCCTGACGCGATCAGCAGATTGTACTTCTCATTTATCAAGTCGAAAACTTTTCCATTGACGTTCGTGTAAGCGTCCCGCCTGATTTTGCAATAGAGGACTCCGTCGACGACGCTGCCATTCAGCAATTGAATACCTAACTGAGGCTGCAACAAATAATCAGTATACGGTCCCCTTTCAGTTGGATAATTGTTAGAAAGTATATTGGATGGCTCAAAAAAGCGTGACGCATAAAACATACATTATTTTAAATAGAAAATTCTATTTTTAAATTCTGTTTTGAATTCACTTTGAAATTCTTCAACTTTTTTATTCATAATAGCACATACCTAATCCTAATAGTTTTTCGAATATTTTAATTTTTCTAGAAAATACTAGTTTTTCACGCTTGAAAAACAAATTACGATAGTGCCATTATTTTTGAAGGTTCACTCGTATCCGATCTTTGAAGATGACGTAAAGGATATATCAACGGAATTTGAATTAGATGCTACAGGGTGTTCTAAATAAACGAATATGTCTGGATCATTTTAATTTTAAAAATCTCGCTTTTCTTAAACATTATTATTTCATTATATAGATATTATTATTAGATTAAAAAATAAACACCAAAAATAACTTTGTTGAAGCTGTAGACAAAGCAACAGACAGTTATTATCAATTTTGGTGAAAACAACGACCAAATTTGAAATTCTCAGAAATAATAAATAATATTAAGTGTCTATTACAAATTAACTTACATATAAACGACTCTTACGAGTATCGTGAGCAGAGCATTGAACCAACGTATCCGTGATTCAAGAAATTGGTTCAAGTACAAGGCTCCTAACCAGAATAAACCGTATGTATCTCCAGTACCTGGGGCGCAGGGGACGGTGGGACAAGGTACTTAAGCTTTTTATTATAACTTGCGTTTTTTAACCATCAAGTCGACTTATTTTTGACTAACTTTAACTAAATTTACCTCAATGTTGGCGAATTTTCTTTAAAAAAAAATTTTTTCTTGGGGGCGAAAAATGATGAAAAGTTTTTTATGATATAAAGTTTTTCGCGTCTGACTATTTGTTGTTATGTTGTTAAAAAAACGTATTTGTAACACGATACGAGTCGTTTTTCCGATTACATAGAAAAAAATTGAGCGTTATGATCTTTTTACAAATATATTACTAAATAGAGTAGAAATAAATTTCAATTTACCATTGTCGCCAAAAATTGCCCCAGTGATAGCCGGTAACAATAGTTCTGTTGTGTTGTAGTTATAATTATTAGAAAAAAAAACAACAACAAAAATTTGGTTAATTTTTAAGCTAAGCCTCGTTGCCTCAGGGGAGCAGCCTTGCCCCACCCTCCCCTAAATCGAGAAGCTCAGGAACAATGGAGCAGTCGCTCATAGAAGGGAAAGTAGAAGGCAAACCGTGAAAGTAGAAGGCAAAGCCCAAGAGGCAGATCTCGAACTAGATGGGAAGACCAAACAAAACCTTTAATAAATATAAGACTACATGGCAAGCATGGAATCAACTGCTGAGTCAAACTTAAATGGTGTCCCTATATCCTTTATAAAGGATGCAAAGGAGAGGCGGAGGAGGATTATGATTCTCAGAGTGTTTGGCAGCTTTAGAATAGTTAGACGCGAATTTTAAACACTGTCAGGCATGTTTAGATTTCCTATATACACAGGTGCAGATAAATCCATTATTCCAATGATAGGCAGCAGTTTTGTTGTCTTTCTCAACAGTAAATTTTATGGAAGGTTGCAAAGAATCAAGATTGATTGAGAAAGGAATCTAGATGTCTAAGTGTCTTTCGGTTCTATTCCAGATTAAGAAGGTATCAACATATCGAAGCCAGACCCTAGGTTTAACAATTGCTGCACCTATAGTGTGAGTTTCAAACCATTAAAACCATGTATACATCCCAGCCCATCGGTAAACAATCATCTTGTGTGTAAAACTTGACTTGAAAGTAGGAATTATGCAAACAGTACCTAAGGCATCAATTCCTCTAACGACATGTTGGTGTATAAACTTTTTCACGTCAAAGCTAACAAACTTGTCTGAAGGACATAATTTTTCGTTTTTGAAAATATCTGCAAAATGCAAGGAGTTTTTTGCAAATGAAGGAGTTTTTCCCATTAGTGACTGAACGATTTGAACTAGAAATCTACTTAAGACCTGGTGACAGGTCTGAGTGGTACATTATGGTAGATTTAGAATTAAAATTAGTCTGCACAGGCTACATCTGGTCGCAACGTTCTCAACAATCTGTTAGTATTTCTACTGAATCATTGGCCACTACCTTCAAGCAAGCGTAGGATACTTTTTACTTACGTTGCTTAATCTCGCAGCTCCGTAGCTATTCGGAGGACCGCTGGTCCATGACATGTAAGCATCCACCCTATTGTTTCTCGTGACGCATTCGATGACTGAATCGTCGCCCATTTTGTCGTCATCGGACAATCCGACGCCCACCCATGCGGCGTTGTCAGCTTTCAGTTCGAACTCGTATCTGTCACCCGACACCGTAACTGCCACTGCCTGGAAGGAAATACGCCATATCGAAGCAACCGAGACTAATTGAAATCGAATCGTCTTAACAAAAATTACTCCCTGGGAAAGTAACACTTTGTTATAAATAAATGAACAAAACTAAGATAACATCGATAAGATTATTGTAGTTTAATTTCCATTAATTTATAACTAGATTCTGTTCATTAATTATTTAATTAATCGATTAACTTAATACTAATTAATCCAATAATTAATGAATTCGTTGATTAATTTAACTACATAAAAATGATTATTTATTTCAATCAACTATTTCAAATAATACTAAAAGTATTAATTAATTAATCTTACTGATTTACAACTTTTGTTTATGACCCAGATTAATTTAATTAATTAATTCAATTTGTAATAAATAAATTATTTATTTATTACATAACTATAATTACAATTTTGTCCGCTTACGGCAAGTGTCCGTTTCAAGGAGAGTACTAAGGACTTAAAATAAATATAAATAGATATAATAGTATGTAATATGCGGGGACGGCGTTTTTTATTGAAGATAGAGCATTGTGTTTTAGTAAACCTTTTTTACTTTTCCGTGAAACGGAAGATAACTTTAGTTTTTAAATTACACCGCGATTTTCGAAATTTTGAAGTTTTGGGGAAAACAAAAATACCTCTCGTATGTCGAGTACCCTAAAAAAGGTGAAAAGCGCATCCAATATAGAGTGTTACGTAGAATTTGTCTTTCTGAAAAAAAAATTTGTTGGTGTTTTTGAATGGAACACTTATAGGCCAATTTTATACAAAAAATTTGTAACAGTATGGGGTTATTTGTATAAATGAGCTCACAAGAATGATTTTTTAAATTTCATGAAGGTATTTGCAGTATCCTTTGGAATATTTAAAAAAACTTTTATAATTTGCATGAAGGCAACTTAGTTTTGGTTAGTTTAGGATATTAACATTTTATTTGTAACATTTCCCATATATACATATATTATTAAAAAAAAAATAATCCAAAACGAGAACCTAGATATTAACACAATTATTTAAAATGACAAGGAACATAAAAATGATTAAATATTAGCATTATTTGTAAACCTCAATATAATTATTTTCATTTTTACAGTTAAAAAATTGTTTAAAATGTCGACCATTTTCTCTAACACGCAATCGCAAATAGCTACATGAAAATAAAAAAAAATCATATTTGTAAGGTCATTTGTACAAATAACCACATACAGTTATATAATTTTGAGAAGTTCATAAGATAAGATATAGAGTGTTTTCCATTCAATAAAACCAAACTTTCTTTCAAAAAGACGACCATTTAGAAAAAAAAACTGACTACGCCACTGAATTATACCCAAAAATCTATATCGGATCTATAGTTTCACAAAAAAATATTAAAAGTTTGCGAAAACGCAAGGGTCAATCTTCACTAGTAGCAGCCAGGGTTGTGGAATTGACAGGTTTTTTTTTTAATTGCTCAATTGTTCGAAATAATTATTAAAATACCATGAAATTTATATTTACCACTTAGTATTATATTCAGATATTCCTTGAAAAGGGTAATAGGTAACTTGGACATCAGAATCTCATAATAATTTATAACAAAATGCATATTATTACTAAATAATGATAGATAACACTCTGCAAACATTTTTTGATTAATCAATTAAGAAGTTGTCAATTGACCAGCCCCAACAATACTAAGAACGGACATGCTCCTCAGTCGTGGCCAAAATGGGACAAAGTGTACATACGTACAGCAAAAAAGTATTTATTTTATCGAAATATTAATAAATAAAAATAATTAGTAAGTAAATTTTAAAAATATTATTTAGTTCTGGGGTTAGTGACGAAACCTTGCTATACTGTGTTGAAGAATACAATTTGCACAGTATCTCTCTAGATTTTTTAAGTGCCGAGATGCAGTGAAATCATCCCTAGGAAATTTCTTTAACATACAAATATGATGTAGAGCTTCACCATATGGATTTATCGATTTTGAACTGGAGGATGCTGCCGACATTTCTACTTCTGAGTAGTTTGGACTACCTTCTTCACATGGATCTGCGTTCTCTACATCCAAATTTGGAAACTTGTCAACGGCCTCTGGCTTCTGTTCTTATATTGCCGTCTAAGTTCATGAAAACTTCTATATTTCGAGGGTCTGTTGCTCTTAAATGTTTGGCACGTCCGAATAACTCAGCAACTGTCGATAATGGAAGATCTTCAAGATCGTAATCAATTTGTGCACTACATTCTAAGTCGCATTCGCTTTTTCTAAATCCAGCTTTGCAAAACAATTGTATGCTTTGCTTTTGCAATATCGAGAAGTTTCGTATTCCAAAAATCCCATTTTAGATTGATGTATGGGGTTCGAGGTAGAAATCACATTACATTTTTTTTATTTTATTGTAAAACTATCAAATTCCGGACACCACCTTATCTGTACTATAAAATTTAAATCTTCTTCTCATACCAAATTGGATCATTACGTGATAAGTATACTTTATTAATTGATCCTGCTCGTGGATGAGCAAATAACTCATTAGCAAGCAAGGCATCGCTTTTATTTTTCCTGCGCAGTTCTCTATTCCACACTTTCCTTTCCTCAATCCTTTATCTTAAGTTATTAAGTGCGCTATCTACTTCTATTGTAAGTTAAATTCTGGGCTTTAGCAGTATCCAGGTAGCGTTGCTAGATGTCTGAATTCGTTAGCCCTTTCATACCTATTGCTAACAATTATTTATTTATATATTTATCTTCGTATGTATCTTTTATCTTTTATCTTATGGTACAAGCAACAAATTTATTATTATTATTATTATAAAACTTTGTAGTTACGATTGTTTTGACTGTCATAGAATGACCAGCAAAATGTTGAAAGCCACTCTTGAGTGTATATTATGTATATTAACCTCAATCACTATACTACTAAACAAGTGTAAGAGGAAAATTGGCCCAAGTCGCTTAAGATTGCGAAGATCATCCCTATATACAAAAAACGGGATATTGGTTCCCCTGACACCTACAGACCAATAGCAATAATACCAGTATTAAATAAAGTTTTTGAATGAATGGTTAAAGCCAAACTTATGTCGCAGCAGTAAGTTTGGTATTTTGCTATGGGGAAACTCGTTTTACTGTTACAAGGTATTTATCCTGCAAAAAGCAGCAGTAAGACTAATTGCCAATGTTTCAATTCGTGAACATGCTAGCCCGATCTCTAAAAAATTTCGAATTCTTACGTTGCCTTGTCTATATATACTTGAAACACTAATTGAAATCCATATAAATTTAGCCCGATGACAAACCAATAACTTAGATTTGAATCTTTATAACCTATTTAAAAATTAGTAAAAAGCACCAATGTGAATAAACCTGCATTTAAGAAATTTTTAGAAAATATTCTAATTGAACACTCATTTTACAATGCATTTTACATACACATTTTCCTTTAAACTTGTGGTATGTACTGCCATGTATATAAAAGGTCAATAAACGCTATTCTATTCTATTATTATTATTATTATTATTATTATTATTTTTGTCTCCTCACAACTTTTGTTGGGTCCTTTTTCACCATGGAACAATCCGGACTTTACTCATCAACGACTCCTCCATGCGCCATCACCCTTCGGACCATGTTTCACGCGTGGTAATTTTTGTTGTGGTTTTCTATGAGCAAAAGTTGTAAACACTTGGGCAGGTTATTTTCTACAATTCCGTTTGCAGAGATTATGATTGGAATTATGGATACTTTTGCTATGTTGGTATATGCCTAAAAGTTCAGATTTTCACGAAATTATATATTTTGACATGACAATTGTTTCGACAACATATCAAATGATAAAGACACGGTGTTGTCAAAACAATTGTCATGTCAAAATATATAATTTCGTGAAAATCTGAACTTTTAGTTCTTATTTATTTTGATAAATGGATTTTCATCAAGTAAAAGCCGCCTCAGTCAAATTTTTCAATATCTGTTTGACTTGGTTTATTCCTAAATATCTATAGGATTCTCCTTCTGTCAAGCTCAGATCTGTCCATGAATCTAATGTCCTCCTCTGCCTGCATCTCACCCCGCTTGAAATGGATGAATTTGCACTTCTTTACCACGAATTCCATCCGGATGTCGTTTGTACATGTTTTCACGTGCTCGTGCCAGAGCCAATCACAACGCAGCAACTTACAACGCAGAGAGTAGCCGATATACGGTCTCTCTCACGCTTGAACCTCCGTATAGCGCTTCTCACTCGCACTTACGTGTAATATTCGCGATCACTTGGCAGGTGGAACATTCCACCCAAATTAGCTGTCATTTTGAAAATATTTATTTTAGTTAATAAAGAATATGCAGTTCAAATTTCGATTCGCCTCAAACACATATTTTCGATTATTCAGATATATGACTTTGTAAACACCTGGCACAGGTAAAAACTCACCAAAATAACTTGGCTTATTGAGTTTTTCACTTTTCAAATATTAATTCAAAAAGCATCAAAATTTTAAAGTGCCTCAAAAATATTTTTTGAACTAAAAATTCTGGGGTTTAAAAATATAAGGGTTGATTTATCCTGGCATTCGTCCAGCCAGGTTTGCGGTTTTGTATTTAAAATATCATTAAATAAATATTATTCAAATATTCATAGTGCCTCAAACACGTCAAAAAAAGGCTCCTAGCTCTCCTACAATATCATCGGGTCCACCTTGTAAATCTTTAGAGCCTCGATTATCAAGGAGTGGGGTACCGACCGAGTCGAAGGCCTTTCGGTAATGTCATGCAACGGAAATGTTTCTCTTCTTCTTTGCGGCTTGCCTATTATTATTATTATTATTATTATTAAATTTTCGCGTCTATCTAAATTTTTGGTCATACTGGAGAATATTGGCAATCATTTAACATTTGAAATGGTACGCTGAAATTCCGGTTCCAAGAAATTTTTCAGGTTACGGGAAATGTCCGTTTAATACAGCTGTCCGCAAGGACAGCTATAACCGTAATCCAATCTGACACGAAACTTACCGATTCACAACATTTGTTGATGACGCAATTCACTCAAAATAAATATTGTCGGAAAACTTTCCAAAACTCCTTTACGTTTGTAATGATAAATGAATATGGCGGGCTAATTATCGAGGTCATTGCCGGGCGATTTATTAAAAAAACTGTTTCGCTTTTACAGCGGTCCAACAACCGTATATGTTGTACGCGAAAGTGATAATATGTTAATTAATTAATCAGTTAATTCAACCACGTACGCGTTCGCTAACATATTTCAAAAGAAATCGAAATTAAATAGGAATCTTTCAGAAATGAACGGAATCGTTGTTAAAGTAATTAATTTAAGTTTAAGTAATTAATTAATTGAATCTAACGAGGAACTTACGGATTCCCAACATTTGTTGAAGATGCAAATTAAATTAATTATTCGAATAATTAATGCATTAATTGAATTTATCAATTAGTTCAATTACATAAAAATTAATGACTTTTCTAAGAATCTTCTACAGGCCGCTGTAATACTATTTAAAAATCTTCTAGATTCTTCCTGCGTCGGTAATTTATAAATCAAACTTTCTGACGTTTCGCCAATGATCCTGTTGGCTTCTTCAGAACTTAACTCAATCTGGCTCGCATTCTGTACATTGTCTGGAATACCTGATTCCCATATTGCTGAATCGCGATTTCTATAGATTCCCGGATTTTGGTGGAAGAATTCATTACGTGCAAGAATTTAAGTTTTAAATATTATGCTTTTGTACTTTTTAAAAATACTGCAATGCAAGTCGTTTGCTGTATAGCGAGGCACACATTTTTGATGTCAGACTATTATATTTTTTACCAATAATGTTATACACTTTCAAAAACAAACATAGTTTAAAATTTATAAATCACAGTTACGGAACACGGTGGCAACAAAATTTAAACATAGCTGTCGAAAAAACTAACAAACGTAAAACACAAAAAGCTTTATTATCCTATCTTTAAAAAAAAAATAAAAAAATTAATTGCACAAGTGAACAGAAACGAAATACTAGAGTTGATTTGACTCTTCCATTCTTTCAGTTAAAGACTTTGTTATGTATATATCTGCGTCTTATATTGTGTATATCGAGGAGAGGGTTTCTATTGGCATCGACTAGTGTATTTTGGCTGGGTATAAGATAATAATTATGTTACCGAATTTTAAAGTGGATAGTATTTACTAATATTGATGATTTTCTGTTTATTGATGTTTATTTTAGCTTAGAGGTCCTACATTTTGTGCAAATTTATGCGAGTTCCCACCCACGCGCGACTACGGTCTTTGTGGAACCAGGGTGATTGTTTATTTGCGGAAATTCATGGACAAGCATCACTGAAATACTAAAAATATTGTTTTGTAATATCTACTTTTGCAAATAAATAATAATAATAATAATAAATAAAATGGGATCTCCGGTTTCGTGATTGTGTGCGGTAACTGCTGATGAGCTGCTCCTTCATGTTTTTTGAGCCTACTTGATTCATCAACTACGGATGCAGGAGAAATCCAGAAGTTTCGTAAATATCATATCTTTTGTTGCAGCAACACGTTTTAGTTGCATTATTTATATGGCTTAATGGAATCACCTAACCAAAACTTCCTATATGCTTCGTTCATTTGAATTACGAAAGACACTATACTAGTGTTGAAACTTAAATATAGCTTCGAACTTCTATCGTCTTTATTTGACTTAATTACACTAATGGTTCAGAAAGACTACAAAAAGATCAGTTTAGTTTATCTTTGATTACGGACGTTGATCCATTTGCCTGAAACGTTATGTAATCAAGTCAAATAATGAATGAAGTTCTTTTAGTTCAAAACAATATGCCTATTTTATAAATAGACACTAGCGGATCCTGAGAAAAAATCTGATTGACTTTTGAGGAACTATTTTTTACTCTGCTATAGCTCAAATAGCAAGCGGAAAGTGAAATCGATATATTATAAGAAATCCACCCACCTATGCTCACTCAGGGTTTAGTGCAAAATTTTCATGTTTTATCAACATCAACAATTTATGATTTATTTTTTAAATTTGTTATTTGTTTAATTTAATCAATTAAATAGAGAAATAATTTAATCGACTATGGTAATTAGTTGATTAAATTAATTAAATAACTGTTGTTGAGAAACGCCAAGTTAAATTATGTGATGGATTAATTTTTATATTTTATAATCAATTAAATTAATTATTATTTAATTAAATAACAAATTTAACAAATAAATGCTGATTATTTTTGTAGATCACATTATAAAGGAGGAGGCGTGCCAATTTTTGTAAGCAATGATGTAAGTCTTGCGCAGGTATCAATCCCTTGTTCCAGAATAAGTAAGGATTTCGAGTACGCAATTTGCGGGATTAAATTTTCTTAAGAAGTATATCGCGTTGCCGTAATTTACCGATCACCTTACAGTGATTTGAATATTTTTATCAATTACTTAAACTTTTTTTCATGTAATGTCTTGAGGAATTATAAAGCATTCTTTTGTGGAGTTTATGTAGACTCGAGACTCTCCTGGTTCGAACAGGTAGACCACATTCTCAAAAAACTTTCTGTTTACTGCATTGTCATATGGAGGCTCCGCCATCAGGTTTCTTTCCCCTTGTTAAAAAAGTACTATTTTTCGTATGTCTATTCCTGTCTCAACTACGCCTTGGTTTGTAGGGGAGGTTCCCCACGTGCGGAGCAAGTCTTTGTTATTTACCTAACATTACTACTTATTAATCAATTATACTAAGATAATTTTATATTTTTACGTTCGTATTATATTGACAATATTCAACACTTGTAAATCAAGTCTTATGGAAATAAAGCTATCTCTATCTTTATCTTTATCTTTAAAAAAATTATTTAATAAATGATTTTAATTAATTAATTATTCCAGTCTAACACGGAACTTCTTCTTTTTAATACTTTTCATCCGCTGATTCAACCGACGTCTATCGAGGTTATAACACGGAACTTACCGATTTGCAACTTTTGTTGATGACGCAATTGTCGGGCGCGCCAAAGCAAAGTTTGGTAACGGCGCATCCGGAGTAAAACGGATCGAACTCTGTCGACGATTGTTTGGCTATAGGCCTGGCATAATGAGGCGTAGTGGTCGGCGGTTGCCTCGGAATGTTGAAACTGGGATCGTTGATTACACTCCTCCTGCTGATGTCGACCGGTGGAGACTCAACACCGACCCAGAACGTGTCGTAACTTTGGGCTATGGTCGCACTGAAATCAATTTATCGTTTACAATAATAATAATAATACTTATTTATCAATTAAGATACACGTATGCATACAATAAACATAGTTAAGTTATAGAGTAGACTTAACCAGCAAAAAAGAGCTTAAAACAGTCGAAAACTGATCAATAAAAAAAGAAAGATTTCAATTTAAATTCAATTTAAAAGAAGTCTTCTTGTGAGGAAGTGTGATACAAGTCCTCTTTTAAGAAATCCATTTGAAAACGTCAAACAAGCAAAACACAAAAAATGAGGAAGAAACAGGGGCGACTTAAGGTGGAAACATGGAACATTCACTAAGTCCAAAGAAATAACAGAAGAGTTCAGAAAGGTTAACGCTGTCATATCGACCATTAGTGAAACCAAGAGAAAATTAGACGGCATATAGGAGATGTAATACGAAGGTGCGGTGAAAAGTTTCTGACCTCAGCAAGAGGTGGCGCCACTATGTCTACTTCTGGAGACGCGTCGAACAGTAGTACCATTCCTACTGAGCTTGTATGTACAGTTTCAGCAGTGCCAGACGCTTCGTGAAAATTGAAAAACGTGATGTCATCTTATACTGTTTGAAAGGTTTTACACCAAAACCAACAAAAGAAGAGATGGATTCGACCACATTCAACTATTAAGCAGTGCGTGCTCTGACCACCCTCGCTCAACACGGCCAGTTGAGGTCACAACTTCAAAAACGATTGAGAAACTCCATCAAATTGTATTGGAAGTCCGCAGGTTGTAGACCTGTAGCGTGTCAGCTGAACGTGTGCGAAATATTTTGCGCAACCATTTGAGCATGGAAAAACCGTGTGCAAGGTGGGTACCGCGATAGCTACCGATCTACCAAAAACTGAATGGAAAAAACCTTTCTACCGACAATTTAACGCTTTATAGGCGTAATCAGAACAACTTTTTGTCGAAATTCATAACTGTTGACGAGACTTGAGTCCATCACAACACTCCTGAAAATAAGAAACAGTCAAAACAATGGGGTAACTAACTCCAAAGAGGGCTAAACAATTTTATCTACAGACTATTACTGGTCAATACTACGCAGAGTTATTGCAACATTTGAAGCACGAGGTGCAAATTAAACGACCTCATTTTGCGAAAAAAGAAATTTTGTTGCATGATGATAACCCTCCAGCGGATTCGTCGATTGGTGCCAAGTCCAAAATCCACGAATTGAAGTTTGAATTGATGCCGCGACCTCCCTATTCTCCAGAGACTATTACCTGTTTCCTAACTTCGAAAATTAGCTTGGCGGTAAAAGGTTTATGAGCAACGAAGAAGTTATCGAAGCTGTATATCAGTATTAACTTAGAACACCGTCATCAGAAATGTATCAGTGTTGATGACAGGCTGGAAACTTTTCACACCACCCACGTACAGAGTGGGGTCCAAAAAGACAAAAGGGCGGAGTGAGACTACTTAAGAAGAAAAATATAAAAGAAACATGAAATCATGGGAACCAATATACGAAATTACAAATAGCTCTATTCAGGAAAGACATAAAAATATTAAAAGTATATGGGCCAACTTAAGACAGCACAATACTGGAGAAAGATAATTTCATAAATATGTTACACGACGAAATCATAAAAATAAAAGAAAGAGAAGAAATCACATCGCAGGAGACCTAAATGGCAGAGTTGGAAAGAAAGAAAGAGACCAAACAGGAGGAAGGTTTGGAGAAGAGGTTCTAAACGACAATGGGGCAAGAAATACAGAACTAAGCGAGATAAGCGATCTAAAAATTACCAATGGGTTTTTTGAATATAACGGAATCCAAAAATATACATGGTACAACAAACAGAAAAACCGAAATCCATAATAATAAGGAAAAGCACTAGATTTACCGAAATTACTGTAGCTAAAATAAAAGAAAAGAAAGAATTATAATTATACAATACAAACAGAAGAATGAATAATGGGAATTAGTGTCTAAAAGTTTGAAACAAAATATCGGCACAACTAGTAGCTCAGAACAAACAGAAAAGAGAAATCCTACATGCAGTACATACAAGAACAACAGATCGTTTAAGAAGAAGAAAGAATAACTTATAACGGAAAAAAAATGAAACGTACAATACAATCTATGAAGCATAAGGCTAAAGGACCAGAAGGAATTGTAGCGAAGCTGATAAAGTAGGGAACAGAGAAATTGTGGAAGAAATACCTATAAACAATGGAAAGAAGCATGCATAACATCCATATTTAAGAAGGAAAATGGAAAAGATTGCGAGAATTATAGAGGAATAAGCGTTATTGTAGCGACTACATCGCAGGGTACTAAGAAAGAAGCTAGAAAAAATTATGCAGGGAAGAATAGGTTGTATTTACGGCAGGAAAATTATGAGTTGACCATGTATACATAAACCAACATACGATCGAAAAGAAAAGAGCCAATACCAAGGATACGCATGCCACACAGTCCTTAGTAGTGAGCTCTACAAAGAAATGACAAAAATAGGAATACCAACAAGACCTTAGAAATATGGAAGTGTTATTGCTACAGAAATAGAATACTAGATAAGATGCTGCATCCTCACAAGAAGAGACAGAACGAACGAAAAAATAAAAAGGAGATGGAAAAAGATACGTTAGAATACATAAATTAATAAAAATAAACCAACCAAAAACAATCGAAATTAATCAATACAAATGCGGGATACTTAAGGCCGTGGTTCCTTATTTAAAATAAAGGGTAGTTTGTTATATAAACGTTAATGGGAGAGCCAATCACTATAAATATGGCGAAAATAGAACAATAAAATATCGCGGACGTATTACTGTTATAAAAATACATTTTTGGCATATTTTTTTATTTTTTTTTCAATGAGCGGAGTAGACTACTCCTGTCATTTTTCTTAACTAAATTTAATGAAAAACTTGTGCCATGGCACAAAACAATAATGTTTTCATTTTATGTTTCATTTACAAACGTTTTATATATTGCACTTTTTCTTATAAAACTTACAATTTTAATATAAATTAAATGCAAAGCATCGCATGTGGAAAAAACAAATTATTTTAGAAAAATGATTTAGTTGAGTGCTGCCTAACCGGTTGTATTTTGAACCAACGTTTATCAATTACCTCGAAACAATTACGTTTTAAAAATAACTCATTAGTGAAACTAAACTATGATTAAAAGGCTTATTTAAAAACATTTTGTTAGAACAATGTAATTCAAATACAAACACAACAAACAAGCAAGCATTTATAAATTCCTCTTAACGACAACATATATAAAATCCTCATAAATAAATTAAAAAATATATATATACATACAAAAATAAAAAACAATTTAATAAATGTATGTCGGATGACAACGAAACTACTGTTCACAGTGGCATTTCAAAATTCAATTTGGTATGTTGACAGGGTTGAATCTTGTGGACATTTATAGCATAAAAACAATTGAAGTGCGTTTCCGGTTTCACCGGGAATTTTAACTTTAACTTTGTTATTTTAAATAGAACTCCCTGTATATTTTTAATTTTTTGGACTCGCCAAACAATTCTAAACAACTTTTGTCTAACATACTTCGTGACAAAAATCAATATTTTTTAAAATAAAAAGCCATTTATAAATGCAAAAACGAACTAGACCGGAACAATAAATTTTTAGTTTCATAAAATATCAAAAGCCGGTCTCTGGTAATATCCCGGAAATGTCCGCAGTGGCTCGAATCCGTGGAACAAGAAATTCAAGTGCCAAAGTGACGCTTCCCGCACGTTAGATCGGTGTATTATTAGGTATTTTACAGAATGGAGTAGAAAATAGTATATGGAGCAACAACTGTGGTTAACGGCATTTGACTCACGGATGCTTAATAAACGATTGAGATAAGGAGTTTACCAAACGTGTTGCATACTAAACTTTTTCTACGACCGTCACGAAAAAATCACAATTTAACAAATTAAAAATAACAGATTATCGAATTACTAAATTTCGTACAATTCAAACAAAATATTTATTAGTTGCTATTAAAACTATTCGTTTATCGTTTCGATCGGTTCTGCTATTGTTGTCTCTTTTTAACTGTGTGCGCTAGACAGAGAGAGATGTATTATTGGAAATGTCATATAAACAATGGAATAAACCCAATTTTAGTTCATCTAAAGAAAAAGACTGTAATTACAAGAAAAATCATCCAAGGATAGAGCTTTTAAGAGGATTGAATTTCTAAGATCGTATAAACAAGAAAAAGCAAGTCCTAACCTTCAATTTTGTTTTGTTTGTACTGATGAGACATGGATATTTGAAAATCGTACAATTGGTCTTGGGAAGATATTAATATAAAAACTGCAAAAACCACTGAAGTTTATGGGAACGGTATGTAAAATTTCTGTGAGAAAATTGAATTTTAAAAAATGGCTACTTATCGACTAGTCCACAAGATTTTAACAAAATAAATAAGAACTAAAAGTTCGGATTTTCACGGAATTGTATATGTTGACATGACAATTGTTTCGACAACACCGTGTTTTTATCAAAATTTGATGAAGACACAGTGTTGTCGAAACAATTGTCTTGTCAAAATATATAATTTCGTGAAAATCTGAACTTTTAGTTCTTATTTATTTTGATAAATGGAGTTTCATCAAGTAAAAGCCACCTCAGTTCAACACAAGATTTTAATTGTAGCTTAATATTTGAATTGTTTATTCTATTGCATAACATTTTTCTGTGTATTAGTTTTTGGCTACATTTTTGCAAAACAACACGAATACATTAACGGACATGACCGTAAGAATTGAGAAACGTCAAAATTCAAACCGTGCAGTGAAATCTTCGAAAACATCCTCCCAAACCCATGCCGTAATATCCCGGAAATGTCCGAAGTGACTTGGATCCGTGGGAAACGAAACTGAAGTGGTAAACTGACGTTTCAAGCACGCTAGATCGGTGTATAATTAGCTATTTTACAAAAGAGAGTAGAAAAATATTTTTACATAATCTCTTGAGCTCGCCTAAAAGATCACCCTGCAAGAGATAGTAAATTGTAGAAGACCAAAATATATCAATTCTAAAATATCTATAGAGACTGTGTACGTCTCTTATTTTTTAATAGAAAACGTGAGTAGCCCATGTGAGTTTTGGGTCAATAAAAAATCGCCAATAAATAAGCCAATTTGACATGCGTTTATTCTTCCAAGGTATTTTCTTTTTCTACTCCCGTGTGTAAAATAGCTAATTACACACCGATCTAGCTTGCGGAAAGCGAAACTTTAACACGTCAGTTTTGTTTCCCACGAATCCGAGCTACTTTCGGACATTTCCGGGATTTTACCGCACGGGTTTGGGAGCAATCGGATGTTTTCGGAAATATTTCCCCCGCTTTGAATTTTGACATTTGTTTATTCTGACGGTCATGTCGGTGAATGTATTCGTGTTGTTTTGCGAAAATTTACCCAAAAACTAACGCTCGTAGAAAAAGTATAGTATGCAACACGTTCGGTAAACTTTTTAACTCACTCGTTTATTAAAAACTCGCTCCGCTCGTGTCAAATAAACTCGTGAGTCAAATGCCGCTTACCATACTTGTTGCATAATATACTATATCTCACTAGTTTATTAAGCATTCGTGAGTCAAATGCCGTTTACCGCACTTGTTGCATAATATACTATTTCCACACAAAATGTACATCTGCCATTTCTCCACCAGTGTATTTCACTATTACGGAAATGAAACTCTTATATTAATCTAATTCAATCCTTTCGATTTACATAATAAACTTTATTTTATAAACCAATTAAGTTTGCCACGTTTGCTTTAAAATACCCTGTATAAATACGGAACTGTTTTCAACAATCTCTAGCATTTTTAATATTAAGCTTAGGTGTAGTGACTTCAGAGTCAAAGTCTGTTCCACTCCAAAGTCTGAATCACGATTGTGTCAAACGAGGTCGAATCTTATTACGTTCAATTATCAAAACAATCTTTCGAGGAAAAATGTGAGCAATTCCATCTAGTCGACCTTGATATTTTTCAGTCGCGATTCGTTTTTATAATAATAACAACATGGCGCGCACTAAAACGATAGGCGGCAATTACGCAAGTCATTGAGAAACGATAATTTTCCTACAAAAATAGATATTACAAACAATCGCGAATGTTTTTGTTGTCCGACGTGAAATTTTCATTTTCCGGACTTTGGAATAACCGATGGAAGTTAGAATAATAAAACTGAGACTAACTAAAATACGAGGGAAAAAAAGCTAACGACAAGAAAATTTTTTACAATTTTTACAGTGTAGTACAGCCGTTTTTGTCATAAATTTTTTCAAGAATTCTTATTTCGATTATTAATAAAAAGAAAAATTAGAAGTTTGAGTCCATGTATTATTGGTCTCAATAATACTCAAAATTCTTCAAAAATTATTGGATTTCCATATTCAAAAAAATATTTCAAATCCAAAGCAAAAAGCAATTCTAATTTAGGATAGAGGTATTTTGAACATTTATAAAAGTCTTTTATGTTCCTTTCAATCAATTTTGTTGAGAAGATTATAGAGTAAAAAGCATCTGACCAAAAATATCATTGATAAGAGAAAACTTTGCAGAAAACTCGTTTTAAAAGTCTAGATCGCAATTACGCCCTCTGGCCATTTCAGAACCTCAAAATTTATTTCCAGCGTTTTCCATTGGTCGATTTACTCAATTTTTTTACTTTACTTACTTAAATACGATGGGTCCTTCGTATCCGTCGGGTGGAGTCCAGATGACGTCCAGACTATTCTTCTCGCCGGGATTGTTGTGAGTCAGAGAATCCGCCGGTTCGCCGCACTGTATAGTGTGGCCATCTTGTGTCGTGGTCTGGTCGAATTCTCCGAGGATTTCCCTGCGAAAAATTTGGTATTAGCTGGACCGAAAATTGCCAAAAAGAAAACACCCCTCAAAAACCATTTTCCCAGTTTTATAAAAGTTTCGACCAGAAAGCAGAGTTTTTCTTTCATAAACTCCACTGCCTTTACATGCCCAACCCGGAACTTAAATTAATAAATAGAATTAAGACTATTAAATTAAGAGAACGGTAATAGACGTCATTAATATTGTTATATTGCAACTTTGTTGCTTCACCATTGTACAGTGTGTCCGAAAATCGTTATCATTGCAGAATATCTTGCGTTTTGCGATTCATGGTGTTACTTTTTTGTAAAACGAAAGATGCCATCAACAAAATTTTCTTATTCCATTGGGTTTCTGATTTTGAAAATTTCGCAATTTGCGGCACCCGTATCTCCGTTAATATTTAGCCTATCAAAAAAATAGAAATACGTCTATAGAGATTTTTTTATGTAGAATCCAATGGAGTAGTTACTTTTTTCAGATTTTCTTTTTTTTTAATTTGTTTTTAATTCAGGTCTGTATTCAATGTTATAATATTTTAATATGACTTATAATAAACCATGACATGCAAATAAATTATTATTATTAAATATTTATTTAATAACTATATTACACGAAAATTTTATATATTTAATAATCAGTTATTTTTATAATTAATATTCATGAAAGGAATGGCTAGTTTTTTCAGATTTTTTAATTTTTTTGAATTATAACATAAAGTTGTGTATTTCTAAATTTTAAATTAAATTTTATTAAATATATATACACTTTACAATTTGTTTTTCGTTCAGGTCTACATTCAATATTATTATTATCATTATTACTATTATTACTATTAAATATTTTATGTAATAACTACATGACACCATAATTTTAACAATTGTTTCTCAGTTTTTGGTGTACTTTTTAGTTTTTTAATAAAATATTTAATAAAATAATATTTTAACTGAAAAAGTGTATTCAATTTTTGTCCGTGTTGTCTATTATCCTCTCGCAAAATTAGTTTAAATTTGTATTAGCTTAAAAATTGTATTTCTTACAAAAATAATTAGTCTAAACGTAAATCTAAATTAACAGCTAAAGAAACTACTTAAATTGACCTCCATTTCTTAATTTTCTTTCAGTGGCATTTCGCAGATCTTGCTTTGTATGGTGCTGATTTTATTGTAAATTTGATAAGAAGTTATCAATTACTGATACTTGAAAAGGTCAAGAGCATTAAATATCAGGGACAATTATCCAGAATTGAACAAGCAAGAGCAAGGTTCATACGTACGAGGAAAGTGGTGTTTGGACATGAACTTAAAATTGAGGTCAGAATGAGAATGCTCCGATGTAGTATACTCCGATGGAGTAGATTCTTGGACTCTCACAGAGACTATCTTAAAAAAGCTGGAAGCTTTTGAAATGTTAGTGTACAGGTGCATGTTGAGGATGAGTTGGATAGATCGGGTCAATAATATCGAAGCCATGAACAGAATGAAGAAAAACAAAGAAATCATTGCTAACATCAAAATTAAGAAACTCTCATACTTCGGCCATGTTATGAGACATCCAGCATTTGATCATTCAGGGCAAAATTGAGCGAGGACGAGACCCAGGAAGAAGAAGATCTTGGCTGAAAAATTTACGACAGTGGTTCAGACAATCAACCAATTAATATGCTGTTTAGCACAGCGGTAAATAAAGTATTGATAGCCAACATGATTGCTAACATTCGGTAAAAAACGGATAGGGCACATCAAGAAGAAGAATCGATATTTGTTTTCTCCCAGATATACATCACTGAACCAAGTTGCCACAATGTCATTATAAAAAAATAATGATATGTACCTAAGTGCATGGAATTTTTTGCGAATAATTGGGCTTCTAGTAGATTCTACCATTTGTAACAAGATGCATAACGTTCACGTTGCAAAAACCCTTACAAAATAAAATTTTAATTTAGTTTTTAGGATCGCTTATGTGAAAGTACCAACTTGTAAAGTCTGTTCACAGATATAAGAAAGTGACTAACTCATACGAATTAAGGAAAGACCCGGGCAAGCTGTAAGAATGAAATATAGCCGAACAGGTCCGTACTTGGCTTAGAGTTTAATTATTTGGGGTTTTGTTAAGAAAGATTCTAAACAATATTTATTTATATATGTATTTATGTTTAAATCTAAAATAAAATTGCAAATTATTTTTATTACCTATTTAAATTACTTAAAATTATTCACATAACATATCAGCTATCGCTATCATCGCCTGTTCTAATTATAATTTGTTCCATATTATTTGCAATATTGATATACGATTGTTCTGCTTGTTATATATGTTTAACAGAATTTGCCCAACTTTGTGGAGGGATGTTAAAAACTTCGGTTTCTTTAAGTTTGAGGACATTGGAGTTAACACGGGAAAAAACATTGTTACGACGAATGGCAGATTTCAGTTGGTGCCAAACATGTTCAATGGTATTAAATATACAGTGGTGAGGTTAAAAAGGTTACAACTGTATAGCCTAGAGTTTTTGCATAATTATCACAGACGTATTCCTTTTGTAGGTTCAAGCTTTGTAGAACCTCAATTAATTGCTTTTTGGTATAATATTCGTGAAAATAAATGTCGTTATTATACATGTAGGTTTGGATTGTTGCTTTTGTGTCACATGAGGAAGGGGTCTGTCTACTGTGATAACTTGCATTGTCCATTACAACAACGTTATAAGGAGGAATGTTTGGAACTAGTCCATTTGGAATCCAACCATCTTTAGAGCCAGCATGCAAAATAGTTATTCTTTTACCTCTTTTTGATGGCGTGTTTGTTTTACACTTATCAGTTGAGTCAACCCAACCCTTTTCCGGGGTATCATAAGTGTCGAATCAGGTTTCATCCAAGTAAATAATTGGTCTTTGTTGTTCTCTGTAAATCCTAATTTTTCCTAGATATTCCAGTCGCTATTTCCGAATTCTAAAAGATTCCATTAAAACTTGCCTTTTATCAATTTTTTTAAATCTAAAACCCATGTGTTGAATACACTTTCATAAGGTAGTTCTGCCACATTTAACACCGGTTTCAACTTTTTCAAGCCTCCTAATTAAGATATCTAATGTAGGCACACTTTGTTCCTCGTGTAACTGGTCAACTTTACACCGTATTATATCTTGATCACTTTCATCTACACTCGACAAAATGTCAGCATCGTTTCTTTTTTTCCTCGCTGAAATGGGATTATTCACAATTTTCCATACAGTTGATGTTGGGATTTCAGTCAATGTGGCCGTTTCTTCTAAAGAGGCTTGCTTGCTGGCACCACGTTCAATGAAAGTCAAATAAACATTGTTTATAACTTCCTCAGTCTCAATAGAATAGTGAGATACACTAGACTCGCACATATTTTGCATAATTCGCACACGATTCAACACACGCTGTATTATACACGAAATAAAAATGATTACTAATAAACTTAAAGTAAATAGTATACCAAACCAAAGAATATTAAACACAGGTAGGTATAACATTATTTTTTATTACAGACCACAATTTTACCTGAATTTAAATTCAGAAACTTTAGGTAATAATCTTGTTGCATTGTATGTTAATGACCACCCTTGTATAATCTCATTCAAAAGCAATTGGTCACTTCCTTATATCTATGAACAGACCATACCTACTAAACTAATGAATTAATTAAAATCGGAACACATCTAAAATTGGTAGCAATATAGCTAAGACAGACGTCACATACGTGATTACGTCACTATACGTGCCGTAACTGCGCAACCGCTCTGACGGGGGTATAATAAATATGTCTCCTTAATAGACTTCTCTCTGACGCTATTGGCTCTAAAAAAAAAGTTTGTCTATTTAAATTCGACATATAATTTTGCCAGTGTTATTGTTATTAATGCTTAAAGCAATTAAGTTATTTTCCATAATTATAAATTATTATTATAACTAAACGGAGTGGCCAAAAATATATTCAGTGCTCCTTTTAAACATAAATCATGCCACGAGTAATATGTTTTCTCCTATAAAATAGTTTCCCGTTATCAAACGCACAAATAACCTCATAAATAAAACATTTATTGCGATATTACGTGAATGCGCGAGACAAATTATTTATAATTGTTTGGTAAAACTGTAAACAGGTTAATAATTGCAAACTGCTGCTCCTACCGATCGAGAAACCATTTTTGTGTTCACGAAAAATATTTTAAAATTTCGCACTTTCACTTACTTTGACCAATTTCTAAACCCTTCACATTGGATGTCAAACGTAATCTTAAGATAGGGACTTGGAACCTGCGGAGGTTATATGAAACCGGCAAAACCACAATGCCATACAAGAAACGAATAGACTCGATATCTCCATTTTGGGTGCCAGTGAGATGCGCTGGCCAAATTCCAATATAAAATCGATGAAGTCTACTAGGAGGTGTTTTATGTAACCGACAGAGTAATTGTGAACGCAAGAAATGTGGATTTTAATCTTGAAGGACGTTAAGGTAGACCAGGGACAGGCGTGGGGAAGTTTAAGTTCGGAATACTTCCGAAGATCCAGTAAGAAATCAACTTCGTCGTCATTAAAGAGTGTTACCTAACTATGAAAGACTAGAGAAAGCACGGCTAAAAATATAAGGGCAACAGGACAATAGATAAAATACCAGTTGAAATACTGAAATGCCTGTACTGCAGACGAAAACTGTCCTACTTTAAATAGATAGGGTATGTTTTTTTTCCATTTTTGGATGACTTTTAAAATTCTAAGGAGGATGGAATTTTTTGGTCGTATTATAGATGAGTGGCTTTTACATCGAAATTTCCCAGAGTATATGCTTTCTCAGGATAAGGTGGATTTTCCTTGCAATGGCGTAGTTAAACGACACAATGAAACACGACAAACGAAAATCCCCATTGGATTATAGAACATGGTACCCAATATTACAGGGCCTTTAGCAATGGCCATCTCACGGGTGAAAAATATTATACAGCTTTAAGGACGCAATTAGGTTTCCTATATCCGAACCATCAGAAATGACGAAATAGGGATGATTGATAACCGTATATGGGAGACCTTCCAATTATACACAAAATGTAAGAGAGGACCTGAATCAAAGGTTTCCAAAAATAGACGAAGAGGGACGCCAGATAAAACCAAATCCCTGGGTGACTTAAAAGACCCGATAAAAGCCGAAATTCGAGCTGAATGCTTTCGAAAACACCATACGGGAATTTACAGAACGCTTACGACACTGTCAGGTAACAGAAGGAAGTCAGTTCGAGCATTTATTAAAATAATCACCTTTTTTGTTTTTAAATTATTTTCATTGTTATCTGAGTTTACCAATGAAATAATAGTTTTCTCTGGTCTGTAAATAAAGTTGTGAGACCCAATAGGACTGCCAACGTATCAGAAAAAGAAGAAGAGGAGGAATTGTATTAACTAATTTTTTTTTTAAATAATAAACTTGAATGAAAATTGCACTTTAGCAAATAAAATTTAAAATAAATGGTAACGTGTCATATATCTTACAATGATATAAAATTATACAGGGTGTTCCAATTAAAAATACATAGCTTTATGTCATTATTGAAAAAAATCTGTAAAAGTGTGGTGTAATATAGTTATTAAATAAAATATTTAATAATAATAATAATAAAAATAATTCAAATTCAACTCTAAGAAGTCATATTATATTATTGAATACAGGCCCGAATTAAGAACAAATGGTAAAGTGTTGTATATATTCGGAAAGCCTTTAGCGGATGCAAAATACTAAAGCAAAATTATACAGGGTGTTCCATTTAGAGATACATAACCTTATGTCATAATTGAAAACATTGGATTCTACGTAATAGCTTAAATGTTTAGCGGAGGTGCGAGGCGTGTAGCAAATCGCGAAATTTTCAAAATCACCCCGTAACTCACAAACGCAATGAGATAAGAAAATTCTGGCGACGGCATCTTTCGTTTCACAAAAAAGTAGCACCATGACCGGCAACGCCTTGAGTTTGACTCATAACCGAGATATCCCGCAATAACAACGAATTTCGGACACACTGTACAGTTTATTGTAATTAACTGTCACTTCATATTTTCCTATACTGTGGAAATAGACTATCTAAAATTAAAAAAAAACACAGAGTCTCATCATTTCTGCCTACACGATTTAAGGTCCTGGACAAAATAATTCACAAGCAAATAAGAGCATTTATCAAATTTATATCTGATTATAGTTGTGAAGGAGCTCTTGCAAATATAATGGATGAATAAGTTGTTAACAAGATTACTGCCTTGGGTGTACTTGATTCTAGCAAAACTGAATCATGAAATCGTCATTTCGATTCTTCATCGCATAGGATTGAGTGTATTGTCATATAAATTCTCGTATTATCGTTTTCAAACATGCAATAGATGATATTTTTAAGGCTTAAGATGGTAACGCTGGTTTCGATTCTTCACATAGGATTCAGCGAAGTAACATATAAATCCTTATATCATCGTTTTCAAATGACAGTACACAAAAACTAATATTTAATGAATCAACCTCTCTGCCTTTGGTTTTTAACAATGGAGTACAGCAGGGTAGTAATTTAGGTATGAGTTTACGGTTTTGTGATTATCACCTTTATAATGATGACACTCAACTCTTTATTTTTCTTAATTTTTCAGACACACTGTACATTGTAAATTCCGCTTCTGCGATCACTTTTCAGTTATTTGAAAGGGATTTTTTGAAAAATTTTATTTATTGTCAACTAGTAAATAAACATATTTTTATTCATATTTCGTGCTGTCAGGAATTGAACCTTACCTTCTGGGTGTCCTCCCTTGAAGCAGGAAGCCCTGAAATGGGATCCCCAACGACGAGGTCACAGTGATAGCGACTCTACCTCCTTGTCTTCTCGGGATGATCGAATAGGGCGGTATACCTCCCTGGGGGGAAATCCCGCCCCCGTGGAAGGGCATCAGCGTCTGACACACGGTGGGGGGAGCGCCTTGGGGTAGGCAAGTGACTGACACCACCAATAAGCTGACTAGAACGACCCGCATTTTCTGGAAACGAACGCAAAGATCGGGTCTAAATAATCTGACGGTATTAAGCTGCGCCTACTAAAAATTACAACTTTGGATTTTTTTTTATTATCTTCACTATTTGCGGATGTTTTATAAAACGGCGGATGATAATAGGAAGATAAGCTTAATCCTAGTTTAAAGTAAGAACTGCGTGTAAAATAAGATGATAAAACGACTTTGTTTTAGTCCAGTCTTCATTTTTTATTTTGACGTCAACTTTAACGATGTGTGGCCTATTTGTTTATGACACATACGGGGTGTGTTCAAAAAGTAAGGTGACTTAAGTTCTATCAAATAGTATTTATTTATTTAGCAAAGTTAATAAGTTAATGTTTTCCCCTTCAAAGTACCCCCCCCCCCCCAGATATAATACACTTGTAAACAAGCTTTGTTTTCTCCAATCCTCGATGCACTTCACGTAAGCATTGAGTTCTTGCAACGATATTTTCTTTACCTCCTCAATCGTTCCAAACCTCCTTCCTTTCCTGGATTTCTTGAGTTTTGGGAACAGGAAAAAGTCGCAGGGGGTCATATCCGGTGAATATGGTGGCTGAGGTATAATTGTGGTTATGTTTTTAACCAAAAAGTTAGACACAAGCAACGATGAGTGATGCAAAATCCGTTAATTGTTTTCCCACATATCCGGAAGTTTTCTTCGTATTGCTTCCCGCAAACGGCGCATAACTTCAAGGTAATAAATACTCTGTATTGACCGTAGGACCTTATCGTATTAACTGTTTATGTAATACGCCACAATAATCAAAGAAAGTAGTAAGGAAAACTTTGACATTTGATCGAACTTGACGTGCTTTTTTCTGTCAGCGATTCTCGGTTCTTGGTTCCATTTTTTTTGCAGCAGAAAATCGCCAAGCACAAAAAAGTACACATGCGAAATAGCCGAAACTTTGAACATATATTAGAAGCATATGTACCAACATAACAAAAAATACAAAAGTCACCCTACTTTTTGAACACACCTCGTATTTCTTATAACATTTCCCTTCTCTTTAGTGTTCTGAAAGACAAATTTTAATAAATGCTAGCCGCTATTCCCTATTTCCCATTGGTAGTCTTTCTGAAAAAGTTGCTGAAGCGAGAAACAAACATTTCCGCCATTAAAGAGATTCACGCAAGAAGATGTAGCAGAAGAAGCTCCAAACGAGGACATCTTAAACCATTTATTGCTCTCGTCAGATCCATTGATATCTACTTTGCGATTAAAATCCGAATAATAAATATTAAATAAAAAAATAAATAGTAAAAAACTTAATTATTATGAAATATACATTTGTGGTTCCTTGTTCATTTTTTTTTAAGATAGATCAAGTTATTAAGGAAAGTTGCCTTTTAAATTGCTTTGTTACTTTGATTTTTGCACAGTTCTGTTACTTCACTCTACGGCAGTTTTTGTTATCTTGGTTTTTGGGAAAATTTTCTTAATAACAATTCACTGACAAATAATATTATTATCCCTGTTCTAATGTTTCTTTTTTATTCGCTTTTAAGAAAAACTACGACGGAAACTCTAATTTGCTTTTTAAAGTTTTGTTTGTTAAATGTGACAAATCTAAGTGGGTAGTGATTTTCAAATTCCATTCTTCATCACGTTCTCTAGTGTCTATTTCTGTCAGTAACAAGTTTATATCTTTAAGGAAAATGTAAAATGAGAAAAGTATTTACAAATTTTACAAACCCATTGCAGTTATGTTTCCATTGTAATTCCTAAGTATTTTATTTTAAATGTCATTCATTCTGGTGCATACACTTGCCCTTGCCTTGAAGTACAACTCTTAAGTGTCGAAATAATGTGCGTAGTCCAAAAACTTTTGCTAGTTTCGGTTTGAAATTATTTGAAACATTGCCCCTCTTCCAAATTTCTAAATTGTGTCAAAAAAATGTAAGCAAATTTTTATACTGCATCGTTTCGATCGAACACCACTTATGTTAATTCAAATTTTTATAGAACCATTTTTCCTGGTATTTGTAACGTTTCATCTGTTAGATTTAGAAATTTTTCAAAACTAATAAATAATATAATTAAAAGGAGTACCTTTTTCAGTAAATATGCTTTTCATGGTGCTAAATATACGATTTCATTGTATGTATTCTGTTAAAGTTCACAGTTACATTAATAAATACACAAAAATAAATAACACAAGGACTGTTGTCTATGGCAATAACATGGAAAGAAGTAATTTTTCAAAGAAACTTCCACACAAATCCTATTTACAAATAGTCTGGATTCTTCCTGCGTCGGTTGTTTACAAATCAAAATTGCCGACATTTCGCCAATCATGCTCTTGGCTTCTTTAATGCTTAACTGAAACTGGCTGGCTCTATACTCCGTATCTGCTTATATATTGTTTCAAGGGGGCGGAACTGAAGGAAGGGCTGACCTGATCTAATCGCCGTGAAGATTGGTTGCTTCTAGATTGCAACAGAATCTCGGATTTTTCTTTGGTAGAAGAATTGATTAAATGTAAGAATTTTAGGGCAAGCTGTAAGAATGAAATATGGCCGAACAGGTCCGTACTTTGCTTAGAATTTAATTATTTGGGGCTTTGTTAGGAAATATACTAAACAATATTTATTTATTTATGTATGTATCTATGTTTAAATCTAAAATAAAATTACAAATTATTTTTATTACCTACATAAATTACTTAATATTATTCACATAATATATCAGTATCACTATCGCTATCATCGTCTGTTCTAATTATTATTTGTTCTATATTATTTGCAATATGGATATACGAATGTTATGCTTTTTCTATATGTTTAACATAATTTTCCCAACTTTGTGGAGGGATGTTAAAAACTTCGGTTTCTATAAGTTTGAGGACATTGGAGTTAACACGGGGAAAAACATTGTTACGTCGAATGGCAGATTTCAGTTGGTGCCAAACATGTTCAATGCGATTAAATATACAGTGGTAAGGTGGAAGCCTTAAAACTGTATGCCCTAGATTTTTTGCATAATTATCACAGACGTATTCCTTTTGTAGGTTCAAGCTTTGTAGAGCCCCAATTAGTTGCTTTTTGGTATAATCTTCGTGAAAATACATGTCGTTATTATAAATGTAGTTTTGGATTGTTGCTTTTGTGTCACTTGAGGAAAGGGTTTTAGTCAACTGTCTACTGTGATAACTTGCATTGTCCATTACAATGACGCTATTAGGAGGAATGTTTAGAACTAGAATGTTTTTAAACGAACTTTCAAATAAATCAGTGGTGGTGTCTTCACGGTAATCCAGAGAAGAATCTTTAATATTTCTCGCAGGCAGAGAAAGTCCATTTGGAATCCAAACATTAGAGCCAGCATGCAAAATAGTTATTCTTTTACCTCTTTTTAATGGCGTGTTTATTTTACACTTATCAGTTGAGTCAACCCAACCCTTTTCCGGGGTATCATAAGTGTCGAACCAGTTTTCATCCAAGTAAATAATTGGCCTTTGTTGTTCTCTGTAAATCCTAATTTTTTCTAGATATTCCAGTCGCCATTTCCGAATTCTAAAAGATTCCATTAAAACTTGGCTTTTGTCAATTTTTTTAAACCTAAAACCCATGTGTTGAATACACTTCCATAAGGTAGTTCTGCCAAATTTAACACTGGTTTCATCTTTTTCAAGCCTCCTAATTAAGATTTCTAATGTGGGCACGCTTTGTTCCTCGTATAACTGGTAAATTTTACGCCGTATTATATCTTGATCGCTTTCATCTACACTCGAGAAAATACCAGCACCGCTTCACAGCAGCACAGTTGACTGATGGAATTGATGGAATTTTCGTCAATGTGGCCATTTCTTCTAAAGATGCTTGCTTGCTGGCACCACGTTCAATGAGAGTCAAATAAACATTGTTTATAACTTCCTTAGTGTCAATAGAATAGTATTTTCTACATTTGGGCGGGAGCATCTCCTGAGATACACTAGACTCGCACATATTTTGCATAATTCGCACACGATTCAACACACGATGTATTACGTACGAAATAAGAATGATTACTAATAAACTTAAACTAAGTAGTACACCAAACCAAAGAATATTAAAGACAGATAGATTTAAATTCCGAAACTTTAGGTAATAATCTTGTTGCATTGTATGTTAGTGACCACCCTGGGATAATCCCATTCAACAGCAACTGGTCACTATCTTATATCTATGAACAGTTTGAATTATTTTGGAATTTTGTATTTGACGCCGAGAGATTTATGGAAGCCTCTGAGAAAAAGCCCTGGTCCATCTAAAACCAAAATTATGGAAACGCTACGTCAAGAATTCCTCGGAGAATTTCTTAGCCATTTAAACTCTATAAATACCCTACCATGCATTTTACCATTGAATTAAAAACTGATAATAATCTCAATATCAGACCTAACATAGGGTTACAGAAAACCAACGCACACACTAACGTTTACTAAATGCCCATTGTTACATCACATCCCTCTCTTGATTAGCTTAAAGCACTTTGCATCTGCTCTTCTCTCTACTAATTTCCACTGATACTGTGGGCCTTCCTTACATTCAAAATATCACTGACCACATATCAAAAGTTCTTAAGAAGTAAAACGTCAAAACCAGATTTACCACTTGTCCAAAAATCTGTCAACATTTCGATTCGTCAAAGATAAAATTCCGTTTGAGATACCAGGAATTTAGAGAATTCCCTGCATATGCGGCCAAAGAGCCTTAAAATTACAAATAAACTAATTAGCAGTCACACACAATCATAAAACCGTACATCAAATATTATTGGATAAAACTAAAATTCTTGCATGTAATCAATTCTTCTACCACCGAAAAATCTATGACCGATCGAACAACCTTAACCGCGACTCACCAATATGGGAAACAGTCATTCGAGACAATGTTTCTTTAGCTCCGCCGCCCTCAAACAATACACAAGCAGGGAGAGAGTAAAATGCGAGCCAGTTTTGGTCAAGCTCTGAAGAAGATGATTGGCGCAAGGTCAGCAC